GCCCCGCACCACATTGTGATGACGGCACACCGTGTACGCATACGGGCCGGAAGGCGGAGGGGAGGGGGCCGCAGCCGGCCGGCGAGCGAGTCGCGTTCTTTCTATTGTTTTTTCTAATAGTCGGTGGGCTGCAAAGAGCGCGCGCATAATGAGACGCCCGCGTGAAGCGAAACGCGATCTCGTTGGACCGAACCAAGACGATGTTGGCGCCGGGCGAGTCTCGTTTGCCCGCGTGGCGGACAAAGACAACGACGACGTCCCTCGCCACGGACAAAGACCTAGTGACTAGGTCGGACTTGACTTTTTTTCAGTGTAATAAACTTGGCACACGGCGGCGTGCCCGGGCGCGGTGTGCACGGTGCCCTGCCAACCTAGTTCGAACCTGTAGGCATTAAGCACGCCGGACAGCCGGGGCTGCCGGCCGGGCCGAGATGAACGGCGATGACGCAACCAGAGGGCGATACATTCGATAAACACCCCGCCCCGCCCCGCCCCGCCCCGCCCCACCCCGCCCGGCCGTGCACGCCCAGGATGAGGAGGATACAACGAGCCTCCACGCCGCTCCACGCCGCTCATTCGCAGGGAAGCGCGAGGCACCGCGTGGTGACGCCACTGGCCAGCAGACTGACTCCGCGAATCGAATCACTGCGCTGTCTCTCTCGCACTCGTGGGCTCCCATGTGGGAGCGAGAGAGACAGAGACAGAGGAGGTCGGCAAGGCGGTCAGTGGGGCTCCCGGACGGCCGTCTCTGCGGGGGGTTAGCAGTGGACTGGAGGACTCGCGGTCCAGCGACCACAGCGCGGCACGCAGCACGCGCAGTAGCCAGGAAATTACTTTGCCGGGGGCGTTCGGCCGTTCGGCGGCCACTTAGGATTCCAGGCCTTCCAGTCTTCCAGCGCCGCGCGGCCCACGTGCCCTACACTGTGCAATGAGCACCGTGGAGCACGGCGCTCGTCTGGTCAGCAGACTCCTTCCGAGAGTCGTTTCTCTGTCGCACTCGTTGAGCGTGGGCGGCGTCTCTTTGGGGTGTATGTGTGTGAGAGAGAGCGACGGAACGACTGTCCGGAATCGCTCGGCGGTGGCAGTACTGGGGCGCCGATAACCCCCTGGCTAATCGCACAAGCCCGCGGCCTGGCTTTACATAAGCGCAGTCTGACTTGACAGTGTGCGCACCGCGGCGCACCGCGTGCACGGCGGGCAATGGCAACGCCGGCGAACGCACCGCGCACCACGCCGACGTGCCGCGCATTGGAAGCGACGCGCCGCGTGCCGCGTGTCGCGTGTCGCAACGGCGCGGGGCGCGCGGCCAAGGCACGCGGTGCGTCTGCAGGTCTGGAACGAACCCCTCGCGGCGTGCGCGCAGCCAACCCGGCGACCTCATGCCGCGGGGCGGTGCTCGGCTGCGGACTCATTCCGAGAGTCGTTTTCGTCGCACTGTCTCTCTCGCACTGATAAGGGACGTCGTACGAGAGCGGGAGAGACAGAGCGACGAAAACGACTCTCGGAGTCAGTCTGCGGCTCGGGCTGCTCGGTGCGTCGGCGGTAGCTCACCGCGACCACGCACGCCGGGAATGCCAAGTTTGTTACGAGGCCCCTTCCCTCCACCGTTAAACTGGCGGCGAGGCCCTTCTGCCCTCTTCATTAACTGGTTCCAGGGCTCCGCAGGGCCCCGCAGGGCTCCGCTTGCCTTTTGGCTTTTGATTGAGTGATTAAGACAATGGGAGAAAGCTCCGCCTTGCCTTGCCTTGCCCTGCGCCGCCTAGTCTCATAACAGCTCACTCGGGCTGCCCGGGCCGAGTCGGCCCATTAATTCGGGCCTTCGGTTCGGTCCGTTCGGGTGCCACTGCGACCCGGATCGCGGTTCGCTACGCTCTGTAAAGTTAAGCAGGGCCCGCTGGGCGCTGGACAAGGCACATGGGTCGGTGACCGTCTCCCAGTACTGGGTCACGTGACCTCGCAAGACAAGTCAAGGTGAAAATTTTTTTCGTACGTCCAATGGGAATCGAACCATCGAACCCAAACGACCAGCCAGTGTTAAATAAAAGACAGTACGTAAAACTGAAAGACAAGTCGACAAGCCACAAGCAGGGGGCGGGCGCGGCCTAACCCGTCCCGTTCCCGTAATGCAAAGTGAGGCCTTACGGTCTGCTTGAAAAGGGAAGCCTTCCTCCAGGCTTCAGCTTCCTTTCCTGCTCGCTGGGTCGCTGGCGAGTCGCGGGGCAACCCGGCGCGTGCACCCGCGGCGCCACCGCCGGTCCGACCCGTTGGCGCGGCGCGGCGCCTAGCCCGGCCAAGCCCGGCCAAGCCCGGCCAAGCCTGCCGACCGATTCCGAAGGATCGCTCCGTCGCTCTGTCTCGCTCGCACCCACGGGGCGTCCCCTAGGGGTGCGAGAGAGACAGAGCGACGATGCGAGCCTTCGGCCGCCACCGGGTCGCGGCCGTCCCCGTCCCCGTCGTTCGAGTCGTCGCCGGTTGGCGAATTTGTCATCGCAGCGGCGAGTCCGCCGTGACGCAAGACACGTAGTCGCACGTAGTACGTAGTAGTGGCAGCAGCCGCTCGTTACGTGCGTCGCGAGCGCAGCACGCGCCGCGCCGCGCCGTGCCGTGCCTTGGGTGACCCGGACCCGCGCAACGATGTGGTGCTCGTCGTCGCGGTGCTCGTCGCGGTGCTCGACGCGGTGCTCGACGCGGTGCTCGACGCCGTGCTCCACGCGGTGCTCTCCAGCGCGGTGGTGCAGGCCGTGCTCTGCGCCGCATCTGTCACTCCACATGGCGCGAGGCTCGACTCCCCTAATGATGATGGCGCCCCATTCCCCATTACTCAGCCCGGCGCAGCACCGCGTAGCACCGCGCCAAATTTTTCAATCGTCCTTTTCTCCGTCGTCCTCGTCAACGTACCGTGCCCCGCGGCGACGGACTGGCGTCGCTAGTAATCGGCTTGGCTCGCGATTCTGAGCGATTAGCACCCCGGCCAAGTTCTATCCCTCCACGAGCGGCCGCGAACCTCCCCGACGGCCTCCCCGACGGCCTCCCCGACGGCCTCCCCGACGGCCTCCCCGACGGCCTCCCCACCGCAGTCCTTGTTAAATGACGCCGGCAGTCACAGCCAGAAACAATAAAAGAGAAAACCCCCGCTGTGGTTGTCGTAGCGGGGCACGGCACCTCATGACGTCTCCGGAGATGCGCGCGCGGGTCGATCTGGTCAAACGACGCGGCCGGAGCCGTAAGCGCCCTAAACTTATTTCACACTCGTGACGCAACGCCGCAGGACAAGCCCAACAACAACAACAACGGACTCGTCCAGTACAGTGTGAATTCTCTCGAAAAGGGTCCGGCCGACCCGGCCGAAGGGCTTAGAAAAGGGAGTCAAGGGCTGGGCTTGTGTAACGCGTTGCCCGGCATTGCCCGGCATTGCCCGGCATTGCCCGGCATTGCCCGGCATTGCCCGGCATTGCCCGGCATTGCCTACGCGCCCTATTACATCACGTTGTGTGGCGAGACAATGTCTCCGCAGCAGGGAAGCCCCCGCAGCGTGAGGTACACATTGCGATTCGCTGTCAATGCGAACGTGAACCTGAATGCACATGCAGGCGGTGAAAAGGACGGCGGGCGGTGCAGCGACTATCTCCCCGGTCTTCCTCGACCTGGCCTGGCGCGACACGGAACAGGATGACGTGCGACGACGCCCCTCGCGACGGGCAGATGGAAAGGGCGGGGCGGAGAACGGCGAGGCGCCCTTTCTGTATCGTCTTCCACCGCTAGAAGGGACGCTCCTTGAGTGCGAGAGAGTCAGAGCGACGAAAATGACTTTCGAAATCAGTCCGCAGACCCGTCGTGCTCCTTATCACGCCATCTGCCCATCGGCCAACGCAGTGCCGCCATCCGTCCCTGTTCTGGCCTTGCAGGCCCTCCTCCAGTACCTTTCCTAGACCCTCCTCCAGAAACTTCCTCTATAGGGCCTCCTCCAGGACCTCCACCAAGACCTCCTCCAGGCCTTCCCTCAGGACCTCCTCCGGGCCTTCCTTCAGACTCCCTCCAGGACCTCCTCCAGGCCTTCCTTCAGACTCCCTCCTGGCCCTCATCTAGGCCTTCCTTTAGGACTTCCTCCAGGACCTCCTTCACGACCAATGTTCAGAACCTCCTCCAGATGCACTCCAACAAGGAAGCCATAACGGACGAGGCCCAAGCACGCCGCCGGGCGACCACAAAGCGAAAGCGGGCCGTGCGAAAAGAATGAAGGAATGAAGGGGAGCGGCCGAAGCCAAGCCAAAGCCAAGCCGCGCCAAGCCGTTAGCAATCAGGGAACGAATCATTAGGGATCGCGCGGCGCCGCCCAAAGCAGACCCGGTGTTTTGTTTTGTCGTTCTGCTTCGACGGCCCGACGCCGCGCCCCGCGAGTGCGAGAGAGAGAGGCAGTGAGAAGAAAGCGCTGTTCGGAAGCAGCCTGCTGAGTGGCGCGTGTCCCAGAGCGGCCCGTCCGCCCGCCGCCGCCGCCACGGCCCCGAGCAGTCCCTCCTCGGTCCCTTCCTGGCGCTCCCTGGGCCCCAGCCAAGGTCCCGCCAAGGCCCCGCCTCGCCCCGCCAAGGTCCTGCAAAGGCCCAGCCCCGCCAAGCGCCCTGCGATAGTGCCCCAGGCTGCTCCTGCCCGGTTGACGCGGTGCCAGCACGCCGGCACGGGGCACCACGCCGAGGCTCGCGGCAGCCAATGTTTTGTTTGGAATACCACTTTCACTTTCCTGGTCGTCACCAAATGCCTTTGCATAACTGCGGCGGCGCGGTGCCCCGTCGCCATATCGTCAAACAGACAGACGCGGTGCGCGGTGTGCTGTACTTGCACGCGGTGCGGCCTGCGGCCACGGCCGGCCGCGTGTTGCCTAGTCTCCAGGCGCCCCGGCACCGCATGGCCGTGTTGTTGTTGTTATTGTTGTTTCCGTCCCAAATTAATCGCCTCTCTCTGTCCTCGCAGGTGTGTCGAGGCCGCGGTCCTCCCCGCCGCTGCCGTCCCCGGAGCGTGTCGTGTCCCTGATGCGCGGCGCCGCCCCCGCCGTCCACGAGCACGTCACGGCCCTGGTGGGCCTGTGGGGCGAGCTGCTGCTCAAGGACATCGCCCAGCCCGTGGCCATCGGTGAGTCGGCCCCGCCCGCCCCGCCACGACCCGGATGGGCCAGCTGACCGGCACCGGCGGCCAAAACCCTAGACGCGTTTTAAACTCCAAAGTCGGTAAATGGGACTCAAACTGAACGTGTGACCCCACCGATGGATTGCTCTCCGAACGAGGAATCCATTGGAGGGGGTCACACGGGTCACACGTTCCGTTCGGGTCCTGTTCAGCGACTTTGGAGCTCTAAAAGCGTCCGGTCCGGGATCCTGGCCCGCGGCGCTCAAGGTGTCGTCTTCAAGTCTCCAGTGGAGGACGGCTGATGACACCGCGCTTGTTTCCAGAGCGTGGGGGTTGCTGCGGCGACGCTCCCGCCGCGGGCCCCGAGTGCTTCCCCCTGACTTCCGGCTCGGGCGCCAACGCCACTTGCAGGGACTACGTCCGGTCGCTGCCCGCCCTCCACGACGACTGCCACTTCCGTAAGGACATCATCAAGGCCCCGCAGTGCCCCACACGGGTTTCCTTTTTCTCTCGGTTTCGGCTGAACCCGGTTTCTTGTTCTGCAGAGCACCGCGACCAGATGAACGCGGCCACGGGCTTCCTGGACGCGTCCGCGTTGTACGGCAACTCCGAGGAGGAGGCCCGCAGCCTGCAGGCCGCCGAGGGCGGACTCGTCGTCCTGGAGAACTGCAGAATGTGAGTGACGGGACCGCTGGACTACCGGTCTTCTGGACCACTGTGCGCCCACACCTAAGCCTTTACCTCATCTGCGTTCTTTTCGGGTGCAGGTGCCAGGCCGTGGGCTCCGGGCTGTCGACGCTGGCCTCGCTCTTCCTCCGCGAGCACAACCGCCTGGCCGTGCGCCTGGCCGCCCTCAACCCGCACTGGGACGGCGACACACTGTTCGTCGAGGCGCGGCGCCTGGTGGCGGCGCAGCTGCAGCACATCACGTACAGCGAGTTCCTGCCCACCGTGCTCGGTGAGGTGACCATGGAGTCCTGGGACCTGACGCCCCGCGACCGCGGCCACTACACTGGCTACTCGAGCGGCGTGCACGCGGGCGCGCTGGCCTCCGTCGGCGTGGCCGCCATGCACGCGTTCCGGTCCATGGTGCCGCCCGCCCTGGTCAGCAACACGACGAGCCCCGGCCGCATGGACGCGCTCAACGAGCAGCGCTTCACCAGGATGGTGCAGGCCGTGACGGGGTCCCCCGCGCTGCAGCCCAGCCTGCGCATGCCCGGCCAGCAGCGCCAGCAGCGCGCCGACAACCACCAAGGTGAGGCGAAGGGCGCTCCGTCGCTCTCTCGCACCCCTACGCGCAGTGGGCCTGAAGACCAACACTCTAGACGCGTTTTACTCATGAAGCTCCCCGGTCCGGTCGTTCCCTGTTGCAGACATGGACCCCGCCGCCCTGCTGCTGCACCGCGGCCGCGACCACGGCCTGGCGGCCTACCCGAACTGGCTCAGCTTCTGCACCCAGGGTGTGCCACTCACGGACCCCGTCGACTTCTCCTACCTGTCATCCCACCCTGGACTCTTCACTGAGGACCGCATTCAGAAGCTCAAGTCCGCCTACAGGTACGCCAAAAGGATATAACGCGGCCCTCGCTGGGATTCGAAGCCGCGACGCTGTCTCTGATTCTCACTTGACGTTTTGCTTCCGCGTTGAAACAGGGACGTGCTCGACGTGGACCTCCTGGCCGGCGCCACGCTGGAGACCCCTGCCCAGGGGGCTGTGATGGGCCCCACCCTGGGCTGCCTGCTCGCGGAGCAGTTCTCCGTCCTGCGGGCGGGCGACAGGTTCTGGTACGAAAACGACATCCCTCCGTCCTCCTTCTCGCGAGGTGAGTGCTGCGGCTCTGATCTACGTCCCCCGCCTACGCCGGTCTTCTGACCCACTGTCCGTCCCTCTCCAAACGCCAACAAACATTCCAAACTGAACCGATACCTTTTCTTCCAGCGCAACTCGACGAAATCCGGCGCGTGACCCTGGGCGGCGTCATCTGCTCCAACACTCCGGACCTGTCCGAGCTGCAGCCGCAGGCCTTCGTCCGCGAGGACCCCTACCTGTAAGCGCCCCTTCCGGTCAGCAGATCGATTCCGAGAGTCGTCTTCGTCGCCCCGTCTCTCTCGCACCTGTACAGGACGCCCCATGAGTGAGAGAGAGGCAGAGCGACGACAACGACTCTCGGAATCAGTCTGCTCTGCTCCCCCTGGAGGACGAGCTGGCCGAGCTGACGCCTTCTTGTGGCAGGAACGTGCGCATCGCCTGCGGCCTGCAGCCCTCGCTGCAGCTGTCCTCAGCCTGGAAGGACGCCCGCGGCGCCGCCAACATCCCCGAGAGCCTGGTGCGCGAGGCGGTGCAGCGCGCCGAGAAGGAGCTCACGGCGCGCCAGCAGTTCGAGTACCGCACGTGGGCCGACAGTGAGTTTCCTCTCCCCCTTTCCGTGTCTTTCTTTGTGTTTGTTTTCGCTGACACCGCAACGCGTACCTTTGCCTCACAGAGGGAGGCATCGACCCCAAGTCCTCGCAGGGCACGGCGGCCGCCTTCTCCAAGGCCAACAAGGAGGCCCTGCACATGGCCAACTCGTCCCTGCTGTTCGAGTACGCCTCCGAGGAGCTGCTCAACTCGCTGACGAGCTCTAGCCCCGCCACCGGCAGCAGCCGCCAGCGCCGCCAGATCATCGAGAACCTCATCGGCTTCACGAGGGACGACATCCTCAGCGGAGACGGACTGCAGGTACACCCCGGCGTTTCTTGCCACGTTTCATGCTTGGAAAGGCTCGGTGAAACTGCACTTCCAATGCTTGTCCAGGACATCGACGTGCGGCCGTTCGTGGGCAAGCCCCCGACGACCTTCGACGACAGCATGTGCGCCGCGCCCGTCGCGGACGACACGCAGCCCTGCGACCCCACGTCGCCCTTCAGGACCTTCAGCGGGCACTGCAACAACCTGCGCAAGCCGAGCCTGGGCAAGAGCCTGAGCACGTTCAACCGGCTGTTGCCACCCGCCTACGAGAACGGCGTGTCGCGGCCCCGCCTCACGTCCGTGACCGGCACGCCGCTGCCCTCGCCGCGACTCGTGTCCACCATGATCCACGCCGACATCAGCAACCTGCACACGCGCTACTCGCTCATGGTCATGCAGTTCGCCCAGTTCCTGGACCACGACCTCACCTTTACCCCCGTGCACCGAGGTAGGCCAGGCCGGCTTTCATTTTCGGAGTAGCGACGACAGCGTTCTGTGCCGCTCCGCCTGGAGGCCCTGGAGGCTCATTCTGACCTGTCCGCGTCCGGCCCGCAGGCTACTTCGCGTCCATCCCCGACTGCCGGTCCTGCGACTCTGCCCGCACCGTGCACCCCGAGTGCATGCCCATCGCGGTGCCGCCGGGCGACCACTTCTTCCCGCCGGCCAACCAGAGCACCGGCGAGAGGCTGTGCTTTCCCTTCATGCGCTCGCTGCCCGGCCAGCAGCACCTCGGGCCGCGCGACCAGATCAACCAGAACACGGCCTTCCTGGACGGCAGCATGGTGTACGGCGACCAGGCCTGCCTCGGCAGGGACCTGCGCGCCTTCGGCGGCGGCCGCCTCAACGTCACGCTGCACCCCGTGCGCGGCAAGGACCTCATGCCCCAGGCAAGCACCCTTCTTGTTCTTGTCTTTGGTTGGCGGTTTTTTTTTTTTTGCGGGAGTTACTGACCCTTGCGACCTGGCCCTGCAGAGCCCCCTGCACCCCGAGTGCCGCGCGCCCTCCGGGTACTGCTTCATCGCCGGTGACGGCCGCGCCAGCGAGCAGCCCGGACTCACGGCCATCCACACCGTGTTCATGAGGGAGCACAACCGCCTGGCGGACGGCCTGCGCGCCGTCAACCCGCACTGGGACGACGACCACCTGTACCACCACGCCCGGCGTATCCTGGGCGGCGCCATCCAGCACATGGCCTTCAACGAGTTCCTGCCGCGCATCCTGGGCTGGAACGCCGTCAACCTGTACGGCCTCAAGCTGCAGCCGCACGGCTACTACAAGGGTGAGTGAGTTGGCGCAGCCCGGCGCAGCCGCGGTGGCCGCTCTGGCCTATGCTTGACTCTGCGTCTCGCTTGTCGTATAGGCTACAGCCCCACCTGCAACCCGGCCATCCTGAACGAGTTCGCGTCCGCCGCCTTCCGCATCGGGCACTCGCTGCTGCGGCCCCACATCCCCCGCATGAGCCCCACCTACAAGCCCATCGACCCGCCGCTGCTGCTGCGCGACGGCTTCTTCAACCCTGACGCCATCTACCAGGTGAGGCCAACGCGTTGGCCAAGGCTGTGCACAGTGTGCCAGAAGACCGGCGCAGACCGCCAAAACTGTGGACGCGTTTTGAGCTCCAGAGTCGCTGATCAGGACTCGAACCGAGCGTGTGACCCCACCAATGGATTGCTCGCCGAACGAGGAATCCATTGGTGGGGTCACACGTTTGGTTCGAGTCCCGTTCAGCTACTCTGGAGCTCCGAACGCGTCTAGAGTTTTGGCGGCCATGGCTGGCCTTCTGGCCCACCATGCTGAGTCAGCAAAATCAACCAAAACGGAGCGCGAAGCGGCGGAGCAGGGTTACTTTCAATGGCGTGTTGTGGTCCTCCAGGCCCACATCGTGGACGAGATCATCCGAGGACTGGTGTCGACGCCGATGGAGAACCTGGACCAGTTCATCACCGGGGAGATCACGAACCACCTGTTCGAGGACCGGCGCATCCCGCACTCGGGCTTCGACCTGATCGCCCTCAACATCCAGCGCGGCCGCGATCACGCCATCCGGCCCTACAACGACTACCGCGCGCTGTGCAACCTGAAGCGCGCCACGTCCTGGGAGGACCTGTCCCGCGAGATACCCGCGGAGGTGATTGCGCGCCTGCAGCGCATCTACCCCACCGTGGACGACATCGACTTGTTCCCCGGCGGCATGTCCGAGCGGCCGCTGCAGGGCGGCCTGGTGGGCCCCACCTTCGCCTGCATCATCGGCATCCAGTTCCGGCAGGTCCGGAAGTGCGACCGATTCTGGTAAGCAGCGCACCTCGCACATCCGGCCATCGCTGTCAGCGCACAGTGGGCCAGAAGGCCGGCGCCGGCGGACAAAACGCCAGACGCGTTATGAGCTCGAGCTCCAGAGACGCCACCAATGGATTGCTCGGTGATCGGTACGAGAGCAATCCATTAGTGAGGTCCGGCCATTTAGCGACTCTGGAGCTCAAAACGCGTCTAGAATTTTGGCCGCCTCCACCGGTCTTCCGGTCCACTGTGCCAGTACGCGGGAGAGACTGAGCCGTTGCCTTGCCTTCTCAGGTACGAGAACGACGACCCGGCCACGCGGTTCACTGAGGCCCAGCTTGCCGAGATCAGGAAGGCCACGCTGTCCAAGGTCCTGTGCTCCAACCTGGACGCGGACGGTGACATGCAGCGCTCCGCCCTGGACCAGCCCAGCAACTTCCTGTAAGTTGCCCTGTCGGCCCACCCCTCCCACCCCACGCCCCTGCAGCGTAGGCAACGCCGGGCCATCGCGACACGCGTGCCCCTCGCTCTGCCTACCTCCCAGGCGCCCCGCGCGGCCCAGGGAGCCCAAAAAGGTCCAAATATGATGTCAATGTGACCTCAGAATCAACTATTTTTGTCAAATTTTGGTCCCAAAATGTCATTATTTGACGGTTTTGACTACCGGGTCTCCTTGGGTGACGACGCTGACCCCTGTCCGTCACTCTGTCGCAGCAACCCCCGCCTGCCGTGCCACTCGCTGCCCTCCATCGACCTGACCGCGTGGCGCGAGACGCACCAGGGCTGCAACATCGGCGGCCGAAACGTGGCGGCCGGCGAGTCGGCGCTGCCGTCGCCGTGCACGTCCTGCATCTGCACCGAGGAAGGGGTGAGTACACTCTAAACGTAGGGTGCCCAGAAACTGGGCGCCTTTGTCGCCCAGTTTCTGAGTGGCGCGCTGACGAAGGCCGTCTCCCTCGGCCCTTCGGTTTGCAGGCGCAGTGCGCGTCGCTGCGGATCACCGACTGCGGCCAGCTGATGCGCGAGGCGAGCCGCGACTCCATCCTGCGGGACGACGTCTGCATGGCGCAGTGCGGCTTCCTGCTGGACCCCGCCACCGCGGCCGCCTCCCCCGCGTCGGGCCTGGGCGGCCTGGGCCCGGCGTCCGGGCCTGGCTCGGGCCCCGGCACGGGCCCTGGCATCGAGTTCACCACGGCGCCCAGCCGACGGCCAGGTGCCGGCCGGCAGCTGGACCTGCTGGCGCCGCCACCCTTCCGCAGGGGCCCTTCCGGGCCGCCGCCCCGCGCCGCGCGGAGGAACCCCCGCGTGCTGCGGCCGGGGCCGTCGGCGCCGGGCTTCTCGGGGCTGCGCATCCCTGACTTCTCCATCCTGGGCTAAGTCGCGCATGCCGCCACGCCTCGCCTCGCCGCGCCCCGCGGTCAGCTCAACTTACTTTGTGATAAGGGAAACGATAGGTGTCCTTCCCAGAGGCTTTACCGAGGGCTTCACCCAGCTTCGCCGCGGCCGACTGCAGTCCAGGACTCCTGGCGGAAAGGTTTAGGTCCCCCTGGACTCCGCCGGGCCGCCGCCGGGCCGACATCGCGACGAGAAACTTAGTCAAGTCGGCCTGCGGGCTGCAGTTTGCAGCGTGCCGATGGTTTCTCGTCGCGATGAGGACGACAGATTCGCTCCAGTGAAAGGGGGAGGGTGTAACTGGTGTGGCCAGTGGCGTGGCCAGTAGCCAGGACGGCTGGCTCGCGCTGACTCGGATGGCCTGGCTAGCCTGGCCGTGGGCTGCAGGCTGCACGCTGCAAGATGCACTCGCCGGGCCAAGCAGTCTGTTCAGTTCAAGGCGATTGTGCAATAGTCTGTAAGGGGGACTCGTTATTCGATTATACTGATTCCACTACACTAAAAGTTGAACCTTGTGTGTGAATTATTAGATGATTGGACTGAGCTCTCCTTGAGATGGAAGACAGGAAGACCCCAAGGGACAAGTAGAAGACAGGAAGCCTATCTGAAATTGTGTCCAACGTCTAATCAGAAGACTGACATTTTTAATTATTTTTTTAAAATGTTTTTGTATGAATGCTGTAGAAATAATGTGTAGGGATGAGAAAGTTAGTGGCACAAAAGTCATTGAGGTGCCTCGCCGTTCTTCTGTAAACTGTTCTTTTCCTTAATCCCTAAATGTAAATGATTGTTGTTGAGATGTTTGTGTAAATTTGCCAAAATTGTTCAATAATGCTTTGAAAGTAGCTTCTTCTTGCGTACATTTGTGCATGTGTCATACTTTGTCCTGTATGTAAATATTTATGTAAAGTGATTTCACCCAAATCAATGCATAATCCTTATAAATAGCACCACAATGTATGGTAATGATTGTATATTAAGAACCATTTTGACTAATTCTGTGACTTGAAATGGGTCTTTCTTTACTTTTTGGGGCAGATTTGCCCACCAATTTAAGTCACATGTATCTCATTGCTGCTTCTAGGATTGAAGCAGAGCAGATATGATCAAAATATGTAAGTAAAACCAAGGTTATAAAAACATGAAAAAATGAAACAAAACTGTAAAGTAGGAATAAGTTTGTACATTTATGCATTTTAAAAAATCTGTGCCAAGAAACTTTTAGATTAGCAAGACAAATGACAGCTCAGAATGATAATAAATTATTGTGGAAAGTTAATTTAAAAAAATTCTTTGAACAATTGATGAGTTTCTTTAGGGCAGTAACCAACAATAATTCAACATACATAGTTTTTATTCTGCATATATTCATCAAATTACAATATTCGTACTTCAAGGAAAGAATGCACGACACTGCTGGCACACTCAACATGCACCTCAAATAATATATCCTTCAAATCTTTGGGGCCTTTTAAACAAATTTATTGATCTAGCACTAATTCAGAAGAGAAAATAAGGTACCCAAGGCACCACTAACAAAACGCAACAACTCAAAAAATTGCTTACAGTACAGTACAATATAAGCATTCTTCATAAAAATCAAAAGAAGCCAAACTATGCATTTAAAATTGAAATAAATTCCAAACAGCCATTTTCTTTCAGACATCACCTGTTGTGAATGGTTGTGTAAGGGAATAATCCTCTGTATCAATTGCCTTTTTTAAAGTTACAGTTACACATTTGGTTCAACAGTACATTATTTACACAAAAATATGTACATACAAAGTTGTTAATGCATATATGCTACACATTATATATATTAAATTCATAAAAACTTTCAGTGGGGTGAACAATGACAGAGATAGATGAATTTACCTAACGCTAGGACCGGAGACAGGATAAAAGATATCAGAAAACTTAAGTCGGTAACCACCGTAATCTTACAATAATATTCCTTGTGACCAACTAAGTATCAACTTTAAATGACTGTTCTGGTCTGTGATAGACTATTAGCCTTGTTTTAAACATGAAAAATTATATTCTGCTTTGAACAATTCCTCTTGGAGAGAAACAAAAACATAGCTGCATTAACTTGTAACCAGGACACAATGGCACTGCCTATTCCCCTCCAAGACATACAATACAACCAATTCTAAAATTTTAAACAGCTCCGAAGAATGCCTTTTTAAATGGCTGGCTGAAAGATGCAGATTGTAAGAAGACTTAGTCACAAAGTCAGAAAGAACCTAAGATATAAACTAATGCTAGTGCTGTATTGCGAACTTGAAATTCAAATCAACAGCAAGGTGGATAGGAGCACAAACCAATTGATCACACTCTTCATTCAATTTCCACAAGCAATCCTTACATTGAGGAAAGAAAGGCCAGAGAGTCATTTCTTAGTTTTCATAAAGAGGACAAGTGTATTGTTCTTTGAAGTTTAATACTGGAGATGTCTACAGTGAGAAAATTCTTAAAGAGACTTAACAAAACAAAACAAAATATGAAAGAAAAAGCATAAGAGCATTGTAAAATGAGTTTAGCACCCTTACATGAAATGTCTATCCATATCCAAAACGTTCAAAAAGTACCAAGCTCAACTGAAATGCACAAATTTTGACTGCTCCTAGCAAGGTAAAATACAAAGAATAAACCTTAAAAATTCAACAATTTGTTCTTTAACTCTTGAGTTTCCTAAAATTAAATTGTTTTAACTTAAATTTTATTAGTGCTTGTACATTAGTTGAAGGGAGGGAGGGAAAAAGCTACCTGCCACAAAGAAGCAAGATATTGGACCTAATACAGCCTACATCTCAGAGATGCTGAAGGATAAAGTAGGCAATAAATCTGTCCACAATCACTAAGTTGGCCAGAACTAGCCTCACTACATCTACTCAACAGTTTTTAACTATACGCACTCAAGGGATACTGAGGTCAACCCACAAGACTCAAAATACAGCAATGGCTTTTAGTAAGAAAGAAACCACACTGAATAATTACAACACATGAAAGACTGTCCTGCAGATCACAATTCCTTTACTTTAAAGAAACGAACAGAACTGAATGTTCTATTGTACAATGGTCTTAGTCCATTAGGAAAGAAGCACTTATCTTCCAACCAGAGCACACTTGAAATGGAATCAGATAATCTAAAACAGAAAAATTTTGAAGAAAAAAATATTTACAATTAGCAGATTATTGCCTCCTATACCCCTTTGGTGTGAATTTGATGATAGCGTATGACAACTGAATTGCCCAGAATTTTATTGCTGTGTAGTTTGGCAATAAGTCCTCCAACTATGATTTAATATCAAACCACACATGGATGTGACATTAAACCATAATGCAAAGGTTGTTAGTTAAGCATCTGGCATGCTTGACACTATAGAAGACCGAAGATGAATTACAACCAACATCTTTGTAAAATCTTTCGCAATACAAGTTAACAGCAGTCATGACTAATCACAGTACATGGTGTCATCTTTCCAGTAACAAGCAAACTGCAATTTGACACTCACAATGAAGATTACAAATTTTGTAAAAGACATCTAAAAGGTACACGAACAAAACAATTAAAAGGGGAAAGTAATTTTTTATAATGCACCTGTGCATGAACCATACGTAAGGCAGATTTACAATAAGAGAAAACTGACAGAAACCATGATGAAATGTAACAGTATACCTATCAACTGTTTATTTTTAACCAAAAAATTTAATGCACTTGGAACTATGATACAAATGTTGTACGGCCTTGATGTAAAGAAAATGGTACAGGTGCAACACTATCAAGATGATTAGAACTACAATACTGTTTTCTAGTATGAAAGACATGTGTACACTTAAAATATGGCAATTATCATATTAAGTCCTAGGTATTTGAAGAGATAATGTTGGGTTGGGAAACGATATTTGCTCATTATTGGCTGTGTACTCAGTGCTTCGACATTGTCACCATGATTGCATTATGATTTAGTGACTGACTGCTTGAAGACAGTTACTCTGACTGACTGTGAAATGATTCAAATAATGGAATAATCAGACTTAATCCACCATAATAACTTCCTGTGATACCAACTACCACAAATAATTCAACATGAAATACAAGTCATCCAAAATTAAATACTTCAATCACAAAACATGAAATACAAGAGCTTCAAATTCATATGCATTTTTGTAAGGCCAATGCCTCCAAGTGCATTATCAAAGGGAACAAAAAACAGAAAAAAAAGAAAAGAAAAGATCTTGTCAGAGGTTTTAAAATAAATATAATAGTTTTCCAGCTCAATACAAGACTTCACCACTTGTACAAATGCAGGTGACTTGTCACAAAACATAAAGAGTTAATGTGGTATAACAACTCACAAGAAACTTCGACAACACAGTCACTCACAGCCTGCTTTGAAAGCTATGGCAAAGCTCACTGTATCCTACATATTACGGTAGCATGTGTGTTGCAAATACACAAATACAACATGGAAAAAAATGACTAGTCCTCGCTTTCTCCTACTTTATCCAAACTATTATGAAACCAAAAACAAAAAAGGTTCTAGAACTGCCACGCCATCTAGTGGGGAGTCCGACTAACAGCTACATGATGACGTGATCATACTGAATCACATTGTCATGCTTGTACTGAAATAAACAACCCTTATTGATCAAATAGCTACCAAAACCCAATCAGCACTTAGTACTTAAAGTCAACAATAAAACATCAAAGTAAGCACTAAAGAACCACAAACCTATATCTACAGATATATGTAAATAATCAGGTGGCAAGGGTTTCTATAAAGAGATAAGTGAAATTTTACGAGTTGCCATTAAATAATGCATGACAATGGTGCTTCGGTACAATTGCAATTACAGTGCTTTAAAATGATCACAAATTTCATGTCACCACTTCACATAAAAAGACAACACTACTCCTTCGATGCCTTGTATCTGAGACTTATGCACCCTGCCTTTTAGGTAACGTACCTAGCACATCAAGAAAATATTAGAGAAAAACAACATGCTAACTCAAACATTCAACACAATGTTTGATAAATAACAATCTCCAAAACAACAGCAGATTTCAACACAGGAGTATTCACTTACATTTTTTAAATATTTGTACAATGATTACTAACAAATCTCAACATGGTTTTGTCGTTTGTATTATATGATTTGCTTCTAATAACAACGGTTCAAAAATAATTTTGGGATACAATGTACAATGTAGATAAAAGCAAATATCCAAAGTACAATCGTCAACATCAACAAAGGTTAGGTTAGAACCTATTAACTACATCCATTTCAGCACATAGTAATGAACAAATAGGTACCAAACCCAATGAAGCAGGTGTTCTCCCTTCACATTAGCAGGAAAACATCATTTCAACAGAAGATAAGAAGACTGAGGAGTGTGTGAAGCCACAAGCAAATTTATAGTCAACCATTAAGCCAATATGCAGATCATAGCCAAATTAAGAGAGATTAATTAATTTACGGCACTACACTACTCATGAGAATGAGGTGCAGAATCTGCATTGTGATTAGAGTCTTCACCAATTCTTGGTTTCTTTGCGCTGTCATTGCGATGAGAGTCGGAGGATATTTCTGTCTCTGTGGTGACAGTTTCAGTGTGAACTTCATAACTCTCTTCATATTCTTCAGGAGCATCAAGTGGCCGTTTGATGCCAGAACTGCTACTATGTTCTGTGATAACTGATGTACCTCCATACGAGTTACTGCAAAGCAAAACAGAGAATCATGAAAACCTGGTCTTGGCAAGTTCTAAGGACTTTAAATAAAAGTGGTAAAAACAAAAAACGACAATCTTTACCTGTAGTTTGAGTATGATGTTTGAACTATGACAGGTGCCGAGTAAGTTGTAGGCGGTGACAATGATTGTTCCTCAGACACTATCAACTGATGTCCACCAACATGATTTCCAACACCATATTTATCTGGAAGAAAAGTGAAGATGTGAAATCAAAGCAATCAGACCTTTCCTTTCAAATGTGCAAGGCCAAAGACAAAATGCCAGTTTGAGAAGATGTCCCTTACCACTTGACTCGTGAACAACTTCTCCTGAAACACCATTAGTGACAACAGTCACATGCTGAGTGGGCACACTGTGCAAGACAGAACCAATATTTCCACCAGCTCCTGTAATTAGGTATGGTTTGAAATAAGATGTTCTGCCACAATAAAAACCAATAATAATACATGCATAAAATTAAAGAAACTCACCCGAGTGTCCTGGAGATCCTGGAGCAGACTGGCTGGTTTTCAGTTCCAAATGTTGTCCAACAGCAGGAGAAGCTACAGTGCTGTCAGGATACTGATCAGGTGTTGGCGAACATTCCCTTGAGAGTGATTCAGGTGTCATCAAGCCACTCATTCCCACATGGCTAGGTGAGGCAGGGGCACTCCTGTTAAAGTTTCATAAAAAATTAAAAAGTTAAAATTTAAATGCTTCTGTAAAATTAAATTGTCAGCTTCAGAAGTGTTCAACAAAATGAGTACAATACCTCGAAGAGAGTCCAAACGGTGCTCTAAAGCAAGGCACTCCTCTCTGCCTTCTTCTCCTGAAAGCCTGCTCAATAAGTTTGGCTTCTGATTGGGGATCTATTCTCCAGAAAGAACCTTTGCCAGGCTCTTCCTGCGATCGTGGTACTTTAATAAAGTACCTATTGAGTGAGAGGTTGTGTCTGATAGAGTTCTGAAATAAAAGAAATACACAAATAAATTGACACACGTACAACTTGAAGAACTGAAATAAATAACTGAGTACCACCAGAGACATACCTGCCATCCCTTGTCAGCAGTACGATAATAGGGATAGTTTTTAGTAATGTACGAGTAGATTCCACTCAAAGTTAATTGTTTGTCTGGAGCAGATGCTACAGCTTGAACAATGAGCTGAGCATATGAAAATGGAGGTTTAGAGTCATCCTGAAACAAAAAATGCAAAGTTAGTTACAGTTTTCCATGAAAAGAAACATGGGTGCAAAGAAATCAACAACCATACCTTGGGTGGACTGTAGTTATCTTGATTAGGTGGAGGGCAATGGGTGCCATTAGAGCCACCGCTGTAAACCTTATGACCATTTCCAGACTGGATCAGAACCTGCTCTAGTGTCGATGAATGAGATGAACCTTCAGGTGAGGGAACAGATAGTGTCACGCTTCCATGACTAGATGTTGCAGCTCCAACCAACACCTCACCTCTGAAAAATGGTGCAATGGAAACACATTCACATTAGTCATTCATATAAGGAAACTGATATCCCATTTCTGAAAGAATACAGGAGGAACAAAGCACTATTCACTTGTAATCACTTGTATGTAAAAGGGCTTACCTGTCATCTCCTGATGTGGCCACAGTGATAGTGTTGACAACAGGATGGGCTCCACTATTACTCTTGGCAACACAAGCTGCAACCATCTGCAAATCTGCACTAATGTTTCTTCGTGCATGAGCGCCACGAGGACTTGCTGGGCATGAATTAGCAGCACTGAAACAGAATTCTTAAGTAGAAACACAAATTTCCAAGAGAAAAAAATGAGAGTATTGGTAGTCATGGTTGGTACCTTATGGTTCCAGTTGGAGAGGGGAAAGGGCTTCCAAAGGTAAGGTCAGAGTTGGGAATGTTGATCCGTAACGGGGGTAAAGGAGCTCGATGACGGCTTGGTGAGGCATGGTGATGTGTGGCTACTTCCACAGGTAGTGCACCTTCTTCAATTAATGATTGAAATTCAAGTCGTATGCTTGTGCTGGGAAATCTAAACTGACACCTGAAACAAACAGATTGTTCTGTTAAGCACCAGATTTTAGAGACAACTTGAAAAGAGAAATCATTAAGCAAGGATGGTCACGCCTTATCAAGACAAAAATAATGTAAGTGTGATAGAGGCTAAAAAAAATAATTCGATCAAAGAGTTGTTTAACCACACAAGACTTCTGTATATCAAACAATTAGGTCACGTTAATAACTTTGCAGCCCCAAAGTACATCCAGCTGAACAAAATTCATTGACTATAATGGTAATAAGATCAGTATTAAAATCAGGACTTTGGCAAAGAATGTTTCATGGGCATAACTGTAAACAAACTAGTTACTAAGGACCCAGCAAGAATATTCAAGACATTTCTTGGGGGAAATGCAGCAACCACATAAACACAACAATCAACAATAAAAAACAAACTAGTCGGTGAAGGAAGCCCAAAAGCAGGCAGAAGGTCAACGAGAGATGAGCACATAGATCTGATAGAGCGATTTCGCGAGTCGCGATAAAGAGACTAACCTCAATCTCAACAAGACCAGCACCCGCAGCGCACAGCGCACACAAGCAGACATGTGGTCTCGGGGCAAAACGTTAGTCACAAGGGCGGCAAGCGCAACATGACACTTAAATGTACAAAGGCTAAGGTGCATGAACGTAAAAATGCTAACCAGTTGCAAGTAAGCCCTAGTTTCAGAGTTTTAAAGTGTTAAAAACAGCAACCTCGATGTTATAAATAGACCATACACACGCATTCGCCTGGGCCCATGAAAACACAAGGATCGCTCTTTCAACGGGGAAAGGGCAAAAGTACATGGCTTCGGTCAAGAATTGACAGCTTGAATGCAAGGATCAAGAGTCCAGAGTGATAAGACCTTTCCGGAAGCAAAATAAAGCCATCAAAATAGATTGTTTACAAAACATGCCTGCTGATCCTTACCTTTTCGGCAGCTGTAATGATGGGGCCCCTTTCCTTTGAAATACACCATCGACGAAAACTCCGTTCTTGCCTCCGCAGACCATGTAGAAATGAGGGTGCTCGTAGAATATCTCGAGGTGTTTTCTTGAAATAAAGCTAGAAACGCCCATGTTTACATCCACCTCGCCTCTAGAGCTGTTCCGGCCGATGGTCACCCTCTTCTGTCGCACCAAATACTCGAATTCCCGTCCCTCCAGGCGAGCGATTGGTGTACCCTTGTTTTCTGGGCTCCATTGCAGCTTTGAAGGACTTGCTGGGGCTGATTTAAGGGCTAAAAGAGCCCAAGCATTGCTTTCTTGAGTCCGTGAATGTGCAGACATCACTTACTGATGAAATGGCTTCCAGCCGATGAAAATCCACTGTTTACCGAGTGTTTACCCACAATCCAACGAAACGTGGGTGGCCAGAGCCACGTGACGATCGCAATGTGAGAACACAGTCAAACATGGGCTGGAATAAGCGAAGCTAGGACACAGATGCCTTCACAAACACTGCTATGTTATCGACGAAAACAACTCGAGAGTATGTTTGTGTTAGATCGGCCTGTGCCTGGAGTGAGTCACAATGTTTTTCAATACTCTAGCGGTGAACGACGCACAAACACACATGGTCAATACAGAAGTCTTTTTGTTCTTCTTCTGCCATTAGGCCCAAAACATCCGGTGTTGAGGCCAGAATTCTGTGAGGCCGCGGCGGGAAATTCAAATTGGCTCCGAGGCTTGGTGAAGAGAAGAGGAGGTAAAGAGGGTTGAGTGAAATAATAAGATAAACTTTTAAAATTTATTTTGAAACATTAGTTCAAAAAATAACAATCATCCCCAAATGAGTAAAGATTACACACACAATAGAAGTGAACAAACAAAGTACAAAAATTTCAAAATTAGACAGCTATTTAACAGGGTTTGAGAGAAAGTCAATCATCTAGAGCACACAGAGCAGCAACACCTCCATTAATCCATACATTCTCTTCTCGGTCAGAGGGTAATAAAATAAACATCACAAAATTTGATGAATGTCCTGTTGTTGAAAGAACCCCACGTCTTTCACTGGTTTTGTAGACAGGACATTTATACGATGGAGGTGGATTAAATTTGGCCTGGCAAAAAAAAAAAGAAAATCATTAATAACTTGTTTACTTATTTTAAGAAAACAGAGTGGGATTACATTCTTTAATGGAAATACCTTGATTCCTGGTTTGAGCCAGAGGACAGGAAGAGAGTCAAACATGACCTTTGGCAGAGGATCATTCAGTAATTTCGAACTTCTATCCCACCTGGCACCTTGCAAAAATAGTCCCTGGAAACAAAATTCAACACGAAAAATTAAAAAATTTGACAGAAGCAAACACAAAGATAAGATAAAATAAACTTAAAATGTAAACAAGATGTGAAAGCTACAAAATGTGCAGGATATGTTTTGTGGAGCAATCATCAATCTATCAGAAATACGAGCAAACAAATGGTAATGTGAGAAAAATGTGAAAAACGCCGTGCTGTTGTAGGACTCTGTTTGTTGCTTTTTTAATTTAATCAACTCTCACCTCAATGAAAACACTAAATTCTTCCACTTTCAATTTTCGCTGCATGTAAAAATACGCACATTCATATTTATAAAAATGTTAAAAACAATAGATTTCCAAAATCATCAAATTAAAGATAAATGGAAATGTCATTTGGGGTTGAGCATGAGTAGCGAAAGATAAGTGATACCTTTGTGTAAACTCCATAAGAGGGATCTTCAGGAGCTTTTCTTTCATAAGGTGTAATTTCAAACAGGAAACCAAGATGATCAATAGGAATCTTTTCTCGGCGTGCATAGTTTTGTAAGACGCCAGTCAGAAATGATTGGGTGAAATAGAATCCTGAAATCCAATAGACGACTGGACTGCCATATAGAATCCAATCCTGGAAAAACTTCAGCCTGGAAAACAAATAGTTTTCAAAAATGGAGAATAACACAGTATTGGAGTACTATACAAAAATATAAAAAATCTTTACCGAGCCAATAGATCTGAAATGTATCCTCCAAGAGGCTTCAGGGATGGATAAGATTTAGCTCCCCAAGCCTTGGGAACACGGCCAACTATCATGCTCTGGTATACCTCTTCCAGCTCAGAATTCATCACCACCAGGCCTTTCACTGCTCTTTGGACTTCAACCAGAGTGCTTTTAACTACTTTAATCAACCTATTAAAGCGTACTAATTCCTACAAATAACACAAAAAAGGTATTAGACATGAATACAAAGATTCCTTGCATAGAACAATAATTACAAATTTCATTACCTGCTTTAAAACAGTGTTCATAGAATTGCTGTACATAATGGGATACTTGGCGGCTATAGAGACAATGTCAAATTCCTTGGGAATTTTCTGAAGAATATCAGCTGCTAAATCGATAACCATTGCATCTGCGTCTCCTCCTGCTCCTCCAGTAATCAGATGGGTTTGTGTCAAAAGCGCACCTCGAAGAAGCTGAGAACAGAATTCAAGTCATATAGCTTATGTGATACCATTTCTGACGTGACACAAGATTTGGTTCTTCCCAATATCTCACCTCCACTGTTTCCTTATTGTCTTTAGTGATGTCTGCATTTTCATGTAAACCAAAGACTTCCGGCAAGGGGTTGAGCGGCAGTTTCTTGATGTAAGCTAAACAATTTTCTATATCTGGCGGATCAGGAACATAATACAACCCACTGGGAGAAAACTTGTACCTGGGAAAGTCCATCAAAGGTGTTGTTACGGATACTACCAGTGTTCAAACTTTTAAAGGGATTTCAATTATTTCATTAAAACTTACTTTGGGATTTCAATTATTTCCTTGTTATAGTAGCAGGAAAGCAAGGACAGTAAAAGGCGCCTGTCTTTATCATCAGTGACACGTCCACCATAGTTACACTCACCAGTCAAGTAAGTTAAGGCATCAAATGGCACTGAATCATACTCATTAAGGAACATCTGAGATAAGGAATAATGATTATCTGTTTAAAATGAAACCTCTTATTGACAATCAAACATGAACAAACTAAAAACTTGTTTCATACCTGAAGTTGAAGAACAGATATCCTAAGGTCAGATTCATTAAATTCGTAAGGAATGTTCCAGCCTAGAGGACCAAATTTCCTTCGCTCTTGAACAACAGCATGAAAGAAGCAAAGCCCAAACAAGAGGCATCGCCATTCTTTTTGTTTCAAGCATTCATTAAAAAACTCCAAATTATTTATTGGGTCTGACATGTAGGACCTCATTAAATTCATTCGCAGACCTTTAGGTGCTTCATTTGTCATCTTGACTCCTGTAGAAAGAAGAATGAGCATGTAACTTAAATATATAGTAAGCATAAAATTGCTTCTATTTGTATTTTCCAATGTGAACTGCACTTTACCATTTTGTAAAACTGATACTGGGAAAGCCTTGGAAGGGTAACTTGTAAGCCAGCAACGAAAATCTTTGTGAATTTGTTCAGGCACAATAACTTCCTCACAAATACGGTCAAGTTCAGGCATCCAGCTCTCAGCCAAATGACAATTTTGTAATACAACCCACTGCCCACTTTTTATTGCCAGGTTGATCATCTCTGCTGCAATTGGGCCCTGACAAAAAGCAATTATATGATCATTGTTAAATCAGTTTAAAAAAATAGAAGTTTATGAGGGTTGAGGGTACCTGGCCCTGTCCAAGTGAGATTGTTCCTAAAGAATTCTTGTCTATTCCACGATCTTCAGCAAATTTAAGAAGTTGAAGCATAGGGTCTGCTCCAGGTGATAGGATGAAAATCAGAGGTGACCCACTATGTGAGTCATTGTAGGAGTCCAAGAGATTGAAAGGAGGTGGTTCAATGAATGACTGACCCATATTATTCAGCACATATTCCTGCATCGGATTAAGTAGATTAATAACATACATCAAGGCAGAAGAAACAATAAATAAATAAGAACAAAGTTATAAATTTTTGAGAAACCTGTATGGCCGGTACTAGTTTGTCAGGCCTCAGAGCTCTTAATATTACAAGCTTTTGCAGGCCTTTGACATCTGTGTAAGGGGCTGGAGGTTTCTCAAGATGTGGAGATGAAGAGTCATAGTAGGCTTTCCATGCTGCAGTGTCACTTTGGACTGATTTCATAAGCCCATCAAGTCTGTAAAAACAATGAAGGGACATTTTATTTCTGTATTTTACAGAGGACATTTTTTAACAAATTCGTAAGTTTTGATATCATTTACTCACCCATGAAGATTTGATAATCGAACTATTTCAGACCAAGATTTGGAGGAAAGCCATGATGCATCTGGATTTTCATGAGGGTTGTCCAGGGCAACACCTCCAGTTAGAAGGAAGGTCCACAAATCTTCTTGAATTCTCCGCTGTAAACAACAATGAACAAAATGTTGTAAACCAGTATGCAAAGGTAACAAATCCTTGGGTTGGCTCTGCGATCTTGACAATCTCACCTTGGATCGCAACACTCCTACACACAGTACAAGAGAGAATATAAGTTTGTCTCTTTCAAAAAGAGATCGACAAACATTTCTATAAATGCTCATAGTGAAATGTGCATTCAAATTTGCCATTCGTTTTTCCAGTTGGTCTGACTTTTCGCTGTTGTTAATAGACTGAAAACAAAAGCCTGTGTCATGAAAATGGTTTGAGAATCAATGTACATCTGCAAACATAAAGACAGGTACCTGCAAATATAGGTTTATAAACCAAATGAGGGAGTATTGATACATTGGATCAATATTTGCTAGTTCAGATATACAAAAGAAAAGAACTGCAGAGTGTGCTGAGACAGGAATGTACATATTTCGGGTTTGGTCAATTTCTTTCTCTGTCACTGCTGCAACTTCTTGTTTGGCCTGAATAGATTCTGATAGTATCTGAAAATAGAAATGTTAGGTGAGCAACATTGTTTTAAAAGCATGATTGATACAAATCCACTACATTTTCCCATTTACTTATAACTTGCCTTTGAAGATGTTAAAATTTGAATTGCTGATTCATCTTCCAGGATATTCCCTTCTGATGATGACAACACCATAAGAATTTGATCTTCAATCTCCTTTAGCTGTCTTTTATTATCAGCACTTTCAACTATCAGATTATTCTTGCGTTCTTCCATCTCTGGGCACTCTTTGGCTACGACAATTGCAAGAAGCTGATCTTGCAAGCCTTGAGGTGTTAACATGAAATTAAGAAGAGTGACCTGTAAAAGAAAAAAATGTATATGAGAGAATGACAATAAAGTTAATTAGCAATTTCCCTGTTGAAACATTATACGGTTATTTTTTACCTTAACAGCAATTTCAGGAAGGTAGTGTGGGTTGCGAAGGCGGGTTGTGATGTAAAGACGAAAATCTCGGTTATATTCAAGCATGTTGTCGCTGAAATTCAAATATTCAATTCCACCTTGCTTGAAGATAGACTGCAATAGTACCGGTTCTGCAAGGGAATACCAAGACATTATATCTGAAGCTATCCATAAACTAGGTGCATATACTTTACTTTATTCTTATTTTTCTTTTTTCTAAATGTAAGTATGTAAAATACCTAAAGCCGCATCAATATCTTCCAAGATATTTTCTAACATGACTGGGTGGCCCATTTGAATGGCAGACTCAATAATCCGCAAGAAACTGGGATCTGATTGCTTTATAACATGCAAATTGTTAGCCTTTTCCATGTGTTTTATCCATTTATTTGCTTGACCTACAGAGACAAAGCATGAACAAATTTGAAAAAAAAATTAACTTAAAGAGATTAAAAAAAAAAGCTTTGTTTTTCACCTTGAGGGTCTATCATCAAAGGCCACCTTCTAGCCTGAGTGACAATTATTCCGTTCTCAACAGAGAAACTGTCAACAGGTAATCCAGCTATATTCCACTCCCTGATAGAGACTGGATCTCCAAGAACATCAATCAACGAAAATTCTTCAGAGCATGGTATTCCTAACTGTTTGCATGATTGATTCCAAGACTTCTTCAAAGCCTGTAGTAAAGCAATATTAAGGCTCAAGTCTATTTTCAAAAAAAATATCAAAGTGTTTCATGAATATGGTATTAAATAAATACTTCTTACATTTCGGAAGTCAACAGTGAATGCACCTAGGTATGCAATAAATCCTGATGAGAGAAGCACATCACCTACTATATTGCCTAGAAGGCCATGTAGCATTTTAGCTGTGTCACTCCACCTGGCTTTCTCTCCTCCCAGGCCACCTGTAACAGGCACAAAATTCTCCTTCATCAATTTACTTTTAACTCAGGTAAACGCAATAATGAAAATTAACAAGGAAAACTTCCTTTACTGGATAAAATAATTTATTTACACATACCTATCAGCTGCTCAGCCCTGACAATCTTTTGTGAGCACAGTTCAATGTTATCTTCTAGCTCCTTCTTACGACGGGTCATTGTGGCAAAGTCATCATTTAATGCTTGTAGCTTGTCAATCACTTCTTGAAGTTGTGCTCTCTTTTCATTTAAAGTTTCCATTTGAACAGCAAGTTCTGCCTCTGCTTCAGCGAGCTTAGCTTTTTTAGGTTCTACAATTTTGATTACACGATCATAAACTTCCATGGCTCGAACCCAGCGACACAGGCCTTCACAAGCTGCTGATATGTTTTTAATATGACCAGGATCAAAGTCTCTGTCATTAATGTACCTTTCTCTTATTCTTTTCATTATAGCTGGAGGAATGTTGTCCTTATCATATGTTTTCAAACTGTCAAGAAATTTCAAGTCACCCAAAATCTTCTGAGATGGACCCCAGTAGTCTTCTATCATTCTTCCTGACCCACTTGGATCTGGCCTCCTTTCAGATTTTATACCTTTCATAACACAGACTGCCTCCATCACAAGGCGTACTCCATGTGGTGGGGTTTTGAGTGACTTGACGACAGTGATGTCTGCTGGCTTTAGTGTGTTCAGGGCTTGGATTGCTGACTCCAAAGCTGGAATAGCCTCAGCAAGATCTGATTCACAGTCATCCTTAATGGCCTGGGCTGCAGCAGCAGCTTCATTGGCAACTGCCTCATCAGCAGCAACAATTTCTTTCTTTGCTTCTACAACTACAGTATCCTGTTCAATTTTTATCATCAACTTCTCAGTTTTCAAAGAAGTGTCAATCAGTTGTGGCTGCAACTGTGTGAGTTCCTCTTTCATCAAGGCTATCTGGCCAGCAGCAAAGTCTAGTTTTTCCAAGCCCACTTCATATCTGTTGGCCATTTTACTGATTTGTTCAACTTTTATGTCATACAGCTTTTTGAACATATGTAAGAGTTCAAGATATGAAGTAGGTGTTACATAAGTCAGGCGCTTGGTCTTTTGGAAATAAGCATTTGTAGCTTCTCGGACACTCAAATGAAACTTTTTACATAAAAGAACACACTGCTTGCGCACTTTGTCATCCACATTGATTTCCTTGAGGAAGACAGTGGCTACTCGGTCTAAAGCATCCTCTGGCCATGAGGTGAACCAATCAATTGTGCAACAGTTTATGAGAGAGGGAAACATTCTTATTCGTTCACGGAATGAGTCACCGATTGGGGACATGGTCAGTGCCAAATGGAGGCTATTTTTGACACGCTCAATGAAATAATTGTATGGAGTGGACTCAATCTTTTTTCCACAACTTTGAGCGGCAGCCATCATTTTCTCATTAATTTCAAGTTTATCCTCTGATCCAAATAAATTTGGAACATCTCCTGAATTCAGAATCATATTAATATCTTCAATAAATGCTTCATCTTGAATTTGGGAATCATTAAATAGAAACACATAGGGTTTAGTTTCCACACCAGCTTTTCGAAGCAGAGTTCTGATGTCTTCACGCCATTCATTCATTCCATAGTTTTTGTTTATCTCTATTTGGAAAAGATTGTATTCTGCCATACTCGCTGCTAGTTTAGTGGCTGATTGCCGCCCAGAGCCTCCAATGCCGACAAGCAAACAGTGACCATTATCTTGTTGCAAGACTCTGCTAATGCGAGAAATGTGTTCTATGGCAAATTTGAAGAGAACAAGAGACATGGGCGTGCGTGATAATAGATTGTATTCATTTAAGTAATACTGCATCTTCTCGACAAGTAAGTCGTAACTTTCAACTTCGGTGTAAATCTTTGGATCTGCATCAGGGTCCATGTAGTTACCAAAGAAGAGGCCTCTTATATGTTCATCTTTCAGTTCATTCTCTCCATCTGGAATTATATCATGAAGTACTTTTTCCAATGGAGTCCTCAGATGAGTTTTGCATGTTGATCGTAACATTTCAAAAAATGTCTTCCTATCAGCATCATCAATGAGGCGATCATAAAATACACGGTATGTTTCATGAGTCCACAGTCTGAAAAGCTTGTCTATATCACCAAGATGGGAAGAGGGAACCAGGACAATTCCCTTTATAACCCGGGCAAAATCACGAAGATTGAAAGTATAATGAGACTTTGCTGGGGTGGGAAGGAAATGGGTCATTGATTCATGATAGATGTCCATTGTGGCTTCAACTATCTGCTTTCCATACCTCGCCACATCTTGGCTGAAACCCTTAGCAAAGTGCCATTCTAAAATGGAGTAGAACATCTTTGTGAGAGTGTCATTCTCAAATGAGTCAATGGCTATAATTTGATTGTGTCTCAAAAAGCGAGAAGTGACCTGATTTGAGCTTCCTCCAGGTGGACCCATAGCTCCCACAAATAAAATATCAACCAGATCAATACGTGTGGTATCTTTCAAACTATACCAGTGTCGATGATCAATCCACTGTCTTAGCAGTTCTATGGGAGGCTGTGCACCATAAGTGTCCTTCATGGGCAGGCTTACATCATCAACAAATAAAACATATTGCTTTCCCATGGGAGGACCATAAACTCCTTTTCTTCTCCTGTCAAGCTTTGACATGACTATTTCCTGTGTCATGTTTGCAGAGGTTCTTGCAGAAAAGTTAACAACATTGGGGAGAATCTTCTCTTTGGGTAAGGCATTGAGATGGTTGAGCACAATGGCTGACTTCCCCGTTCCAGTAGGTCCAACAAACAGAATAGGAACTCCATTTGTGAGGCAAGTCTTCAAGAAGTATCTTTGACAGGCAGACTCTGTGGTTGGTATAATAAGGTCACCGATTTTTGCTGAAGGAGGAAATGTTACCTTTTCGGTAGTGTCAAGCCAGGTGATCCAGGAACCGTTATTTTTCTTATCAAAGACCCATTCAAAGACTGTCCCTCTATCAGGAAATAACTGAGATTTGCTCAACTTGAATGTTTTAGGTCTTGGGTGTTCATCATTTCTTCCATCCAGTAAATGACGAAAGAATGTGTCAAACTTTTTCCTTGTATCACCGGTCACAGTTGAAGCAAAGCCCCAAATCACACAGAATAGGAATACACACTGAAGCCAAACAGTGCTGACTTGTGTTTCTCCTTCCAAATGACAAGATAGCAAGCGAGCATATGACTGGAACATGTGCAATTCGGAGGACCACACAAACTGGCGGCAAGAGGTTTGCACAAAGTGAATGGTTGGAGGGATGATCCAGGCTGTCAGCTCTTCTATTAGTTCAAATTGCTCGTCAAGAATTCGTGAGCTAAGGGAACAGTGGAAAGACTTGCAAAGGGGCTGCCAGCCAAGCTGAGAAGGCTCCATATATATCATACCACATCTTGAGACAGTGGCAGGAGATGCTTGTTCCAAATCTGCAGGCTCAAAAATCATGTTCATTTTGTTGGTCATCTGAACAAAACAAAAAAAAAATTAAAAACTCTTTAAGAAAATTAAGTGGAAAGCAAAAATCAAGAAGGTTTATGTCGAGAATAATTACTTGAATTATTTCTCCAGACATGAGGCACAGTTTCTTGTTATCATCAAGAACTGTATTCATATTTTCTATCCATACTGCATCTACAGGGCCATCAAATAAAATCCATTTTCGGTCTGAAGACAGGCTGCTAGAAAATTCTCTGAATGTTTTTGCTAAAACACCTGAAAGGTTTATTATTTAGTTAGATATTGAACACAATTGTTTTTATGAATTACCTCATTTCAAACAGAACTCATACCATCAGACCATTCATGGGAAACTGGATCAAACTGCCCATATAACTGTCCCATTGTAATGGCTTTTGGATTAATTATTCTATATGTAACTTTGAATTCATCTGACTGTTTAGAGTCGCTGTGGAGGTCACCTAATGAGTCTGCAAGGTTCTGAAAACGGAAAGACAAATTTAAAACAGTAATTATCAAATAGTGTCTAATATTTATGAGCTCTTATTCCCACCTTGTAGGCACATGTTTTTCCTCCCATGGGTTCACCAACAAGCATGAGGCCATGGCGAACCAAAATCATCTCATACAACTGAATGACTTTGTCCACATACCAATCGGTGGCCTGCAAATTTTTTGTCTCCAAATTCTTTTTTAATTTCTGCATAAGTTCGTCACGATCTGGTTTTGGTAATTTGATGCCAGGAAATAGATCTGAGATGATGCCAAAGAACAAAGGAACATCCTGAAAAAAGAAAAAAAAAACGAATACAAGATACATCTAACTTCATTCTTAATTTATTTTGTAATATATATTTTTTTTAATTGATATTTTTGGCAAAACTGACCTCTGAAAGAAACTTGGGTAAATTGACATCATTGATAGCTCGCAAAACCAAAGTATATTCATCATCAACTGGGTATTTAAGTTTCAAGTTTCCTGCAGCAGTTAAAACAGTTTTGACAGCACGCATGCCATAGTCATAGTGGCTTTGAGATGAAAGCTGTTCTGAGCACAGCTTATAAGTATCAACAATTTTTTCAGACAAACTGTTGACACAAAAAGACATGGAGAAAGGAGAGAAAAGAAATTAGTGTGTTGCTTAAGAAACTTTGGCTCAAAAAAGGTATTTTAATAACCAGCTTACCTTCTTGCATTCACAAATCCCATAGAATACAAAGAGATCTCTCCAATCATGGCATAGTCGGGAACCATCATAGCTACAGTGCGGAAGAGTACCTTCAAATTATCAGGCAATTCTTGCCTGCCTGCATATCTAAAAGGACAACCAGAAGGACAAAATCTGTTTGAAATCTGTCTGATCTATGACCAATACAATCAGCATTGCATTCATTTAGATTTTACCCTGGATTCATGGTGATGAAAATCGTACAGGTTGGGTTCAACTTCAACTCCACACCCTCAAACACAAACTTTTCCAGTTTGTTGATAATTGCCATTTGAATACAAAGCACTTGCTGTGCAATGACTGACAGAACTTCAACTTCAATTCGGTTAAACTCATCAAAGCATGCCCAAGCTCCAGAACATGCCAAACCCTGCAGGCCATGGCAACATTTTCAAGTGCTCTTCAGATATACTGAAAGGCTATATTACAATAATTCAAAATAGTTTATAAAATTCAAAATAATTCAATTACCTTGAAAAATTTGCCCATAGCTTTATAATCAAGAGAATCAGAACAATTAAAAACAACACACTGCTTGGCTACAGCTTTGGCTAGATCTTTTGAGGTCTCTGTCTTTCCGGTACCAGCTGGACCCTCAGGTGCTCCACCCAAATTCAAACGCAGAGCCCCCATCAAAGTCCTATAACAACGATCTGTGAGAGGCGTTATAACCAAACGGCCTGTGTTTCCCAGATACTCATATCCATAGGCTAGTTCAGTAGTGATCATAGAAACATAGACATTGCTATCCTTCATGTTGTATCGCAACTGGCTGGTCCAATTGAAATCCAATAAAGAAGAGACATGTCGATCTTCTAACATTCTTACAACATCTCGAGCTGAAAGGGAGGGAACATGTAATATAGAGTCTTCAGCATAAGTGAAAAGATTCTAGAAAACCCTAATAATCTTACCATGAACATCAATGACAATAAGAGCCTCCACAGTAATTCTGGATCCTTTTGATAATTTGCCTCTGACAAGTTCCACCATTTCATCAATTTGTTGGTTGCTTTTTTCCAAGTAAGTCTGGAAAAGCAAATTAACAGCATTTGTGAGAATTATTAATCATTTTCCCTAGCATATAGTAATAAAGAAAGGAAGAGCAAAATATGAATCGCGCTAATACCTTCAAGGTTCCAGCAGAGATAGCTTCAGATACTTCTGCAGTCCAGTGAATGCAACTCCCACACAGAACAATCATTCCAGGCCAGTTAAGTACCCACAACGATCTTGCAGTATTAAAGTACGCTGCTACAGCATCTAAAGCAATTGCTCGCATTGATTTCACCATCAGTTCCTCAACTTGTACAAGCCATTTTTCTACCATTCCCTGTATAAAAGTTGAAAATTGGCAATTGGATATTTTTTTTTACAGCAATTGGATATTAACACCTAATTTTGACATTTTTACCTTGGCATCATGTGGTTGTATTCTATTGATAAGAGGAACATTTTCTGACTCTGCAGAGATCATGCCAAGAATTTCACAATCTGAGTTGAACTCCAATCTATTGATGCCTTCAAAACACTTTTTGAGATGCGGTTGAACTCTCTCAGGGTCCTTTGTTTCGGAAAGTATTTCCAACAGCTCATCATTAGAAAGGAAAAAGAACCTGAAACCAAATCAACAACAATTAATTCGAGTTTTAAAAAAAATGAACATGCATTATATAGAGATATACATGCCTTGGAAAGAAGAGTCTTTTCTTTTCAAGGTAATCATTCAACCCTTTTTGAATTTCTTCAAGCAAAACATTATTTTCTCTCAGCAGGTCCAACATATTAGGATAGTCTGTGGCTATGAGTACATGTCGATCGGCAACAGTGTTTGTCATTATTGCCCGCCATGCCTTATCTACTTTTCTAAAGTTAGCTGCCTCTTGAGGCATTTGCCTCATTATGTCTTCCGAACTAAAGATTGGTTCAAGATAGAGCCATGTTGCTTGGCACTAGAATATAAGTACAATATAATCAGAAAAATGAAGTAAACAGCAAGAAAGACCAAGGCAAGGAAACAAACTTGTTACCGTAAGCCAAGCATCAAGAATATCTTGCATGCTTATCAATTTCTCCTCCCAAGCAACCATGTCGGCTTCAAAAGCCTTCACATAGGGTGAGCCCCGCATTGTCTGAGCCTTCAAGATATGGTCGTCAAGTAACATCTGTATGTCATCAACAGCTGACAATATAGACACTCCAGAATCTCTGCAACACGTCCAATTTCCAATGAAGAGCAGTTTCTCTTGTAAACCATGACTAGCATTGATTTCACCTGCTCTTTTCTTACCTGTACAAATTAAGTTCAAATTCCATATCCTGCCACTCATCTTTCATCTTTTTAAGGTTCTTCTCAAGAGCATATTCTTTGGTAGCAGCTATGCCTATCTCCTCTAAAGCTTGCAAATGTTGAGGCAAACCCACTTCAATCATATCTTCCAAAGACGTATTCTCATCAGGCTTAAGAGGCACTCCTACAACTTCACTAAGCTGCAGAAAATACGTTTGATTTTTTAAAAAAAATCATTTATTTTACAGGAATAAAAAATTTTAAAAATCATTTCTTTGCTTGCCTTTTCCCAATGCCTTTCTTGAATACCAGGATTACAGATTGTGGTGAGAACAGGAACATATTGTCGGAATTTTTCAACCTTCGCACGCACCATCTCAGCTATTCTTTTAGCACCAGGAGTATCTTGAAGAGTCTTTGCCAGTTTGTACAATGTACGCCATGTTGCTTCCACTTCTTCCGCAATTTGTTCGGCATCCAAATGCAAGAATGGGCCTGGGGAAAATCGGATTGAGATATGATAGACAAAAATTAAATAAATTTTCACAAGTGTTACCTTTATTATTTTCATTTTATGATTACCATAATACCATTTATCATACTGTTTGTGAAAGTTCAGAACAGTATGCCACAGGCGATGGAAAGGCTCAACTACCACCAACATGTTATTAAGATTGCTGAATGGTGTGAGCTCAAACTCTAACAAGCCTTCTTCTTCATTAATTTCCTGAAGTTAAAAAAATTATTTTACATTAAAAAGATTAAGCAGTTGCAAGAAGTTTAAATACACAATGAAATAGAAAAAATTACATTGGCAATGACTTTGTCCTCAAATAATTTTTCTTGGATGTCATTGATAGAAGCTGCACTTTCTTCCATCTCCTCCATGGTAAGAAGAGGAGGATCTTTGCGTCGAAATAAGTCCAATTCTTTCCCATGCTTTGCAATTCTGCATAAAAATTTCTCAGTATACAACAAAATCAAAATGAAATGTACTATCTGGGAAGGTAGAAGGAACTAATGCACTCACGAGACATTTAGTTCATCCAGGCGATTTCGTAGAGCATTTTCAACAATGTCTCTCCGATGTGAAAGGCGGGTGTTAGCAAGTTCCAAAGAGACATCTATTTCACGGGGCCAGTTAAATACTCTTGAATTCAGTTGGATGTCTTCACCTGGGAAGAACTATCATGTTTACAAGGTAGCCACTTATATCATTTGTAAATATTTTGAACATAAAAACCAAAGCAGGAAATATTATAGGGTACAATACTGACTAGGTAAGATTGTACGATCAATGATGAATAGAAGATTCTCTGCTATATTCAAAATTTGAACATTCAAGTCAAATACCGTTACGTCTCTACTTTGAATCATAAAGTGAGTTAGTTCAACTAATTCAGCAGTTTTCTCAGGAAGCTCACTCACTCTATTGCATATGTCCTCAAATGTACGACAGATTCTGTAACCAGTACATGGAACAATAAGGACCTTCAGTTTCAACTAAGTAAACTTCATCAACATACTCACAGTTTATTTTCAGTGCGAATTTTAGTGACAAAGAAATTTGTTATGTAGTTTTTCAGATCACTTAATATGTTGACCATTGTATCATTAACTTCAGCACAATTAAGACTAATAAAGTTCAAGGGTATCGTTCGACGCAAAAAGTCAACCTCCAAAATTTTTTCTTCAAGTTTTTCTATTTCTATTGCAAAGTCCTGTAATAAGTAGATAAATAAAAACAAATTTTAAAAAATCATGTAGAAAGATGAGAAAAATCACTGAGTAATGATGAGTTTTAGTACCTTGAGAAAAGGTAGAGGCTCTACATCAAACAACCCTTTGACATCTCTTTCAGCAGTTCCATCAAGAATGTAAAAGTATGGCTCATACTCTTTAAGAAATGCATTTGGACCAACAAGATTTGTGTCAAAGCTGGTTAAGGCCTCTTGAATGATGGCAATAACTTCCTTTTCTGACTCGACTACTGGGTATAATGTTAAACCTGAATCCTGCATGTCTTAACATGTTCAATCACATTAGCATACATTAGTGTTGTACATCTCCATTGAATGGAACGAAATGGTGTTATTTTTAACCTACCAGTAAAAAGAAGACATTCTACACATGGAATATCAGAGTTGACTTCTAATATTTTGCTGAAACAGCTGTGCACAAATTTTCTAATATCATCTAGAATTGGGTAAAAAGTAAGGTCTGTACTTGGTGGGGATGCCTTTACTGTCACTGTCACCAAAGGAATATTAATGCAAGCATAATCCCTGTACACATTTCCAAAATTATTGCCACCCTAAATTGGAAGAAAAAAAAAAGCATTAGGTGAGAAACTGCTTTAACATGTTTACAAATCCTCTGTACATACGCCACTCACCACTGAGCTTTATGAATACACATCTACTTACTTTAAAGCGCACAAATAAAGAGAGCATATGATGTAGAGAGCGCATGACCAAACTCCGAAGCTGCATAGACATCAAGATACGAGCACAATAGAAGAATGACTCTATTAACTTAAGAGAATCTCGATTTTTGTCAGGAACAAGAGATCGCCATGCCGTCTTCATCTCCAAGAATTTGTCAGCACACTTTGGAAGCCACCTAGAAAAATTAAAATGAAGAAAGGAATACTTGTTATTTAGTGGTCATAAAAAAATTAAAAATATTAAGCAAAAAAAGAACAACTAACTCATTTCGTAAGCGGCTGTAAGATGCACTGCACAAGTTGTCAACCTCTTTCTCCAATTCAGTTAGTTCTAATGGAAATGGATTGGTCTCTTCTAACAAATGTACAGGAACAATGAGCATCTCATTGTATCTTTAAAAAAAGAAAATAAGAAAGTAACTATGTGAACAGAAAGAAGTAAGAGAGCACACCACAGTCATGCAACTGATTTAAAAATTCTTACTCGTCTAACCAGAGGTTTCTTAATGCAACTACCACTGGATTGACAATGAAAAGATGATGTTCAATCATTTGTTTGTTGATTATCACCACCTGGTGCCACGGAACAGGAGCTCGAATGCACACTCGTATAAAGGCTTTTGGATATGTCTTGATGTTCAAACGTTCTCTTTCAGCTGGATCAAGCATGATATAATCAAATATGACAAATTTTAAAGTTGTCATGTAATCGAGACGAACTTCTTCTTCAAGCTCAGTTAAAGATCCAGGGACACTGAGAATATACAAGGCATGTTTTTAAACTGGTAACACAAAAAAGGAAAATTATTTTTAAAAAGATGATAACATACATGAATTTTTGCTCAGAAAGCTTCTTGTGGACACTATCCATCAAATGTTGAGGATATGGCTCAAGCATGTGATCTGGAATTCCCTAAAAGTACAATGAGGTGAACTTTAATTATTTTTATAAACTATTTATCGGCATTGGAATTATTGTATGTGAGAACAAGTGAGATAAATGTGCACTCATTACACCCATAAGGCTTTTAGAAATAAAAACTATGCTTCATTTGGGGCGTTTAGTTGGTCTACCGGGAAAGTGGCAAATGTATCTGGTTGATAAGTGAGAGTAAGTTGAGGAATTTGTGATACATTGAGGAAAATATCGTGTGCATGTGATTCAAACTACAATGGACACAATTGATATCTACTGAGTCCTTTCTCATGTAACTTGAGTGAGAGGCTACATCAATCAGACCTCATGCTGTTTATGTGGGATTTTTAAGCTCTAGCTTGCCTTCTCTAAATAGTAGGCAATTCTCTCCGCATCCTCAGGTTCAACAATGTAAGCTGCATTTTCATCTTGAATATGATGAAGCAAACTCAACTGCAGATCAGGATGGACTGGCTGTGGGGCTGCCATGGACTCTATAAGCCTGACCAAAATCAATTTGTAAAGGAGTTTTCACACAATTTTATGACAAGTCAGTATCACCCTCAGACTTTGTTTACCTGTTTCTCTCCTCATGTTCATAAGCAATTCTATGAGACCGTTCCACCCAGGCTTGTTGAATCTTGGCATTTCTTTCAGCCAGCTCCAGCTCACGGCGATTCATAAATTCCCCATTGCACAGTTCCTGATTTGGGGAGAAAGGACAACGGCTTTATAAAGATATACAGAAAGAAGATCTAATATCTTTGAAGTTCTTCACGTACAATCAAGGAAACAGTTTGTGGCTTGATGATGTCAGTGGCATGTAAAACTTTCTTATCCCCTAGTTTTGCTATTTTGGGAGGAGGCTGTTGCAGAAATCCAGTTTCACTGTAACAAAAATCTAGTCCTTTCTGAGGACTCCTCTTTCTTGGGGCAGATAAAGCACGAATGCGGAGAGGTGCAGCTGACTGGGTAAAGCAGCTGCCAATAGATTCGGATGGTTTGCAGTATTGGACAGCATCCTAAACAAGGAAAGTTTTCAGATCAAAATTTTGCACGATTCCAAAGTTATTTCACAAATGAAAGAAGTTCAGACCACCTTGAATGGGACTGCTCTGGTCCATGATTGTGGTTGCATGAGAGGGGGGTATTTGGCAGCTTCCAGGATGTCATTGAAAAGTTTAGAAGATTTTTCAGTGGCTTGGAATGCCAGTAAAGGCTCCACTGGTATTTTTGGAATTTTCCCGTCATTCTTCTGCTGGAATATGACACTTTGACTGGAGGAGGTTCGACGTCTCTCCATCTTTGAGGCTTTTACAGACTGAAAGAGACCAGTAAAATTGTGAGATTAAACACTTAGGATCCCTCAAAAAGAGACTTATTTGAAAATAGACGAAACTTCAAATTATTGCAGAGGATTTACCTTGTGTGTCCATCAACACGGTTCAAAACCATGGTGCACGACAACCTCGAAAACAAACATAAAAACGCAAAGAACCCTGCAATAAAAAATGGTTGTACATAGATGGAACGAAACAAGACATATTTATGATCTCTGGAGAGAGGACAATGGTGCTCCACAAACGAATAGAGACAGATTTTGCCTAAACTTTGAAAAATAGGAGGTTTTCTGCTGAACTGTTTATAAACATGTTTCAACAATCACCTAGCAACAGTGCGAAACGACAACCTGAACAAACACATTGAAAGGACCTATTCCTCTTTCATCAGCAAACAAACATTATAATATAAGACAGCATATCTGAAATAAAGTTCTGTTTCAAACAAGTCAATAAAAATTTCAGTTTTTTATCTTTTTCTCAGTATTTGGAACTCGTGACTAACTTTTTGTGTTGGTAAGACAAGTATCTCCAACAATTTTATAGAAGGCGCCGCCAAACCCGGAAGAAGTCTGCTGCTGCGGCGGTAGTAGGGAGTTGGACGGGTTGGACGTCGGAGGTTTACGAACGCAAGTGTAACTTCGGCGAACAACAAAAATGTCAAGTTTAAGACAGACTCCACTCACATGCAGTGGTCATACTCGCCCTGTCGTGCACTTAGCATTTAGTGATGTAACCGAAAGCGGATACTATCTCATTTCAGCATGCAAAGGTACGTCTGCGTCCCTTGTGTACCACTGGGTAGAGTGGTTTACCTTGGCCCTGTTTCTTGTTTGTGTGCACTTAACCTGTGTGTTGTTATTGTTCCGGAAAGTAATTTCCTCTCCTTTTCCGATTATTCATTTATTCATTCATCCCGTTGATTGTCGCGTATCTGTCACAGATGGGAAACCCATGCTCAGGCAGGGAGACACTGGAGACTGGATTGGCACCTTTGAAGGCCACAAGGGTGCTGTTTGGGGGGTAGCCTTGAATTCGCAGGCAACGAAAGCTGCTTCTGGAGCGGCCGACTTCAATGCTAAGGTACGCTTCCTGGAGTTGAGTGGATGTCAAAGATGCCTGCAAGGTCATCCAGTTTCTGACGTATCATGGTGCTAGCTGCGGTTTCATCGTTGGACAATCCTTTGGTCATTTGTAAGAACGGATTCTAATTTGTTGACATTTTTGTGTGTGCTGAACCTAGGTGTGGGATGCAATGTCAGGAGATGAACTTCACTCCTTCCAACATAATCACATTGTCAAGAGTGTGGACTTTTCCGCTGACAGCTCTCTCTTTGTGACTGGCAGTAATGAGAAGCTACTTCGTATTTTTGATCTGAACAAGCCAGAAGCAGGTATGTGTTCAGAAATGTTAGCACTTGCATCTTAAATATGTTTTTGCACAAGTATATTTCAAAGTAGTAAAATTTCTTTTGTTATCCCCACTGTTTAGATCCTGCTGTGTTTAAAGGCCACACTGGAGGTTTGAAATATGTCACATTTTTCCGTGGTGATTCTCAATTGATTAGCTGTTCCGATGACAAAACCATCAGAGTGTGGGACAGAACATCAGGGCAGGTACAAAGTCTAGCAATTCTCATTGCATACATTTTTCATATAATATAGCTGAAGTACTCCCCTCTGATGAATTCTTGCTTGTCATGTTTAAAATAGGAAGTGCAAAAGGTTGAGCTGTCAGCAAGCCCTAGCAGCCTGGAAGTTTCAAAGGATGGTACTATACTGACTGTAACTCATGGAAACATAGTCAGCTTCTGGGATGCTGAGAAGTATGTTAATTGAATGGATAAATTTCTCCTGGTTCCCTTTGTTCCATGTGGCTAATCTGCCTGTATTTGCAGGTTGGAGAAATTGAAGGAGATCACTGTTCCCACTCAGGTGAATTCTGCGTCACTTCATCCTGACAAGTCTATCTTTGTGTGTGGAGGAGAAGACTTGAAAATGTACAAATTCAATTATGCAACTGGTACTGAAATTGGTTAGTTGAACCTTTTTGATCTGAATCAGTGTACTTTTGTGCTCTTTGTAATTTTCCTAAACTTCCAATTTTCTTGCTTTCAGAATCCTTCAAGGGACATTTCGGACCTGTACATTGTGTGCGGTTCTCCCCAGATAGCGAGCTCTATGCAAGTGGATCTGAAGACGGAACACTGCGCTTGTGGCAGACGACAGTTGGGAAAACGTATGGTCTTTGGAAGTGTGTGGAGTCCAGCATTGTAAATTCAGCTGAATCTGTGGCTCCTGCTGCACCAACTATCCAGGAAGTCCCTGCTAATTGATACCAGATTTAATGAGAAAAAATTGGGCCCATCCTTATTCACAGAGCTTTTAAAACCGAAAATATTGGTGCAGTTTTGGTTGAAGTACTTAAATCTTTATTGGATTTTATTGAAGATGAGTACTTTTCCAGAATTTTAAATCTTTCAGATATCAGTCATGAATCAAATTGTGAAGTTGCACTAATGCCCAAACTGGATTTGGAGTTAAAGAGGTACTCAACATGTTCATGGAGCTCAGGTGATATTTCTAGAGATGAATTGTGATATTGAAAACAAAACAAAAAGTTAACCCTTCAATGCTGTTTGAATCAGCAAAGTTCATTTTCATCCAATGTTCAAATTAGTGTCCAAGCTGCTGACTCATTTTAATCAGAAATCCTGATTTATTTATTTTTAATGTCTCTGCATGAAAAACCTGGAGTTTGTTTTGAACCCAATGTTCATGATTTAGTTTCTGTGTACAGTTTACAACTGTTCAGTCAACTAGACTAAATGCATTTTAAACAACATTTAAATGCCAATTGAAGCTTCCCTCTCTCTTATTCACTGTGGTCATGTTCACGTGAGCCTGGATTGAGCACTCAATTTCTTGAAATTCAGAGTGATATCTTCACATTTCTTACTTTAGAAGCTGGTTGATGTTGATGTGATGATTTTTATAGTAATGTTTTACAATTGTAATTATTATTATCAAGAATTGTCTGGTCAAATTAAACAGCGGAGATAGAAGACTTGGGCATATGGCACAATCTTGTTAATATATTACAGCATATTTGCCTTGTAGAAACCTGTAAACTGAATTAACAGTTCGACAATTCTTTTTTTTTCTTTTTTCATTCTAGAAGGAGTTGGGATTTTCTAAGAGGGCATTGCTGGATAATGCATCCATATTGGATGGTTGGCAAGATAAAGCCACAGCCTTTTTCATTTTTTTAATTTATTCTCCTTAGAAATAATGACTTGTGATATTCTGGTATGCTGTTTGGTAATGTAAGCTAGCTGTGAGCAAAGAGTGTCTCATTTTTCTGTCGAATTCTTGTGCAACACTTCTGTGATAGCATTCATTGAAGTAAATTCACTTCCCCTTCTTAACTTCATCATATTGGTACTGTCGATAGGAAAGCAAGGTTTTAGATTTTTTAAAATCTGTTTCTACCAAAGTTAAAGCTTGCATTTAAAAAGTTGTCATATTATGTTTTGTCTCTAATTGATCAACAGGTTCTGTTTTCATATTTTTTCTTAAGTTAAATTTTATTCTTTTATATCAGACAAAATTGTCCTTTATCCAAAGCAAAATCTTGGTTGCATTCCACCAAAACAATAAATTTTCGTCATTGATTTGTTGTGTTGTCCTTAGTTTTGGTCACCCTTTCATCATGATTAAGCTTTTTCTGCTCCCTCTCTGTGATATTTAATAGTTTCAGCAGTCTGTTTGCTTTAACTTTTATTTCGTTTCATTTCAATAGAGAATTTACAAAAAGCGTCTAATATAGATTGAAGTCTAATGACTTAGATTTTTTATCACAGCCGTTATGAAAACGTAAAAAAAATATTAAGTTGATACGATGCTGCAGGCCCTATTGTAGGGCCAACGCGTAGAGCCCGGTGGCCGGGTCCCTTGGGCAGTGACGAAGGCCTCGGCAAAGCAGCCGTACTTGAGGTCTGGCAAGCGAGGCAGGCGCCATGGTCGCGGTCACGGCCTCGAACAACTGCGGCGAGCCTAGAAAGCAGCCGCCATGGAGGAGCAGGTGTCGAGGGCCGAGGCCCGCTTCTTGGTGGCTTTGGCCAAGGCTTTGGCTGAGGCCCTTCAGGAGGGCTGCCAGGTCGGCGGGCGAGACGAGACAGTCCTCGAGGACGAGCATTCGCAGTGCCGGCCACGGTCTCGGCCTCTTTGAAGTGCACACGGACTGCACGGCCTCGCTCGGAGCGTCGTGGCCTGGCGTGGGCAGGCGGCGGTTCACCCGGGCTAGAGTAAGGCGAAGAAGGCGGCCCCGCACGGCCTCGTCCACGGCCACGGCGTCGTCCTGGTGCTCCAGGTCCACGGTCAGGTGCTGCAGTGCGGGCAGGTGGAGCGGCAGGGCGAGCTGCGCCAGGCTGCGCGCCGTGAGTCGCAGCGCGCGCAGGGTGCGGGCGTGCGCGTGCAGCACGTCGCCGAGGAGGCGCCACAGGTAGGGCTGGCAGCCCGTCGCGTCCAGCTCCTGCAGCAAGGGGAAAGGGGGGCCGCCCTTGTTGTCGGCGACGCCGCGGAGCTCATCGAAGTACCAGCAGGGGTCAAACAGCGCCTGCAGCCGGAGAGAACGCAGCGACGCGAGTGTGGCCAGGGCGGCGATGGCGGGGGCGGGCTGCGGCTGCTGCGGCGACGCGGCGTCCTCAACGGGGCGCACACCCACCAGCCCCACGTCCAGCTCGGCCAGCCTCGCGCCGTGCATGGCGGCCAGCACGCCGTGGAAGCACGCGCGCGTCGCGGCGTCCACCGCGAAGTGCCGCCAGTCGATGGTGAGCGCGCGCACCTCCAGCCCCGCGTCGACGGCCTCCCTCAGGGCGCCGAGCAGCAGCAGGGCCCGCGCGGCGCACGTGGGCTCGCGGTCCTCGGGGAACAGGGCCAGCTCGGCCAGGGCGGGGACCAGGGCAGGGGCCGCGCGCAGCACGCGGCACGCCTCCAGCTCGCGGCCGACGCGCACGGCCAGGCGCACGCGGCGCCACACGGAGCGCCCCGACAGCACGCGGCGCCAACGACGGCACACGCGGCGCGCGCTCGCCATCAGGTCGAGGGCCGGCACCTGGGACAGCACCTGCTCCAGCACCTCGTCCGGCAGCGCCGCCGTCCAGTCCACGCTGTCCGCGCTGTCCAGGGGCTCCTGGGCCGCGGCCGGGGAGCTGTGGACAAAATTGACGCTGCACTCTCAGTCGCTCTCGATCGATGGACAGTCCAGGCCTGTCCGTCCAGCGTGTCCGGCAGATCAGACGGCTTTAGAATGAGACCCAACTACCTCGCCCTTTATTTAGACCCAATCCATTCGAACCTGGTCTGGCTCCAACTAGAAACAACTTGTGGATTGAGAAAATAGGAATATCTGAGGGCGGACTGGACATGGGCGGCGACTCAGCTGGGGCGGCATGGCCGTCACCCAACGAGACACCAGCTGACGTGCCGTGCCGCAGTCCAGCAATCACTCCTCTGCGGTCGATGGTCGATTTGGCTGACAGCTGACCCGCCGCGGCGCCCAAGCGGGCCGGGGTCGCTACGCCCTTCCCGTCCTTTACCTGTACGTCCCTCCCGGTGGCCGGGGCTCGCCGAGTGCTAGCCGGGGAGGCCCTGGCGGACCTCACTCACCTCTCATGCAGCCGATCCATGCCGCTCGTCGCTAGGTCGCGGCGCCGTCCTGCTGCTGGTCCTGCTGGCCGGCGTCACGCTGTCCCAGCCAGACGCCCCGCAGCCTCGCCGCCGCGCCGCCGCCCCGCCCCGCGCCGCCTCGGCCCGCCCCTCGCGAACCGACACTAGTTGGCGGATGGAAATAGCCCGAGCAAACGCATCAGCTGTGGCCGCGTGGCATGGGCTGTTCGCGCGCCAGCAGGCCATGACCACCGCAGCCCTCGCCGCTCGCTCCTGGCTGCTCCTGGCCTGACTGCCTAGCCAGGCGCCAGGGCGGCGTGGCAGACGGCAAGGGGTGGACGCGGGGAGGGGGAGGGGGGACTGGGGGTGGCTTCCATCCCGGGCGTCCCGCGGGGTAGCCGCCGCGCAGCACGGCGAGGGGGTGGTGCCGCGTGCCCCAACCCCCAGCGAGGGGGCGGCGCGCGGCAAATCCCCCCGTCGTCGAGGCGGCCGTGGCCTTGCCAGTCGTGCCCTCATTGAATGCGGCTGCTGCTGCGCACCGTGGCCCGGGGGAGGAGGGGAAGCAGGGGGCAGATCGACTGGAGAGAGGGAGTGGCACTTGTGGGGACGGCACGCACAAAATCGATGGAGAAGGTGTTTTCAAATATTTCAGCGTGCTTTCCACGGAGACGGACTCGACGGCGACCTGGGCGCACACTCGCGGCCACGACAAGGCAAAGCAAACGCCTCAGAAGCCTGAGCGCAGCTCAAGAGCAGGGCACGCTTGGCCGTGGCCGTGGTGCCACCCGGCTTGCCGCACGCCGCCCTCTATGGCTGCACTGTTTATGTTTGCCAGCCATAGCCATGTGCCATGCACTGCCAGAGCGGCCCGAGGGGCCCGAGGCCTGGGGGGTTGAGGGCGTGGCGGCGTGGCGGCGCGGAGTGGGGCGGCATGAACTCGTTCTGTGTGTCTGTGGGCATGGCGGCGGCGACGGCGGCGGGCACTCTCTGGACACGGCCGCGCTCTCTCCGGCCTGCCCCTCTCCAGGTAGGCCCTGCTGTGGCCGGGCTGCCCCGCCGCGCCGCGCCCCTGACCGCCGTGCCGCTGTGCCCCGGAACCTGCGCTTGCGGCTGTGGCCGCGCCGCGGTCCTGGCGTGGCGCGGCGTGGCGCAGCGTGGCGCGGGTCGACGGGACAGGGCAGTGCCTGGAGGACAGGACTCGAGTAGAGGCAGAGGCAGTCCAGTTGAGTGAGTGAGTGAGTTCGGTACACCCCTCGCACCGCCATCGCCACCATGCTTCGCGGACGCCGTCTGCTGTGCGCCGTGCTCGCGCTGGCCGCCTGCGCCTCCTTCACCGAGGCCGTCGGCATCTCAGGTAAAGGTGGCCGTCGAGCCGCCACCTCCGCGCTGGCCGTCCACGCCGCCGCCAGGTCGGGGTTTCCGTAGAGCGTGCCGAAGGACGTCACGGGGTGCGGGTTCGAGCCCCACCGGCGGCGCAACAAGTGTGTGTTAGTCTCCAAGGACGAGGACGTGCTGGGCCCGCGGCGCCCCTCGGCAGGATCACTGACTGTCTCGAGGCCTGTCTGCGGAATAGGACAAGGGCTCCAAAGGTTGGCGGCTGGCCGTCACGCTGCTGGCAGCCTGCTGTGGCGTGCCCCGTTCGTTGTCGTTGCCCCGCGGGGAAGTCCCAGCAGCAGATAGGCGAGGCGCGCCATTTGCACGCGCCGATGATGTCCGTTTCCGCGTTGGAGTGTCGCATTGTCGGATCCACGCTTGGCGCCGAATTTCGGCGATTCGGCGCGTCGCGTTTCAGTTCGCCTCCCCGGAAGGTCGTCGTCGTCGGCGTGCCGTCGGCGTGATGCAACGGCACGGCAGAGGCTGTGCGCGCCGCGCGGCGGAATTCAAGCGTGCATGTGTATCCCCCGAAGGATCGTTTCGTCGTTGTATCTCTCTCGCACCCCTACGCGACGCTTCGCAGCGCCCCATGAGTGCGACAGAGACACACAATCGGGCCGTTTGGTGTCGACGAATGCGCAGCGCGCGGCAAGAGTGAAGCTTGTGAAGCTTGTGAAGCTCAAGAGGCGCCCGGCAGGCAGGCAACACAAGACGCGGCTGCTTTGCAGGGTGGCCTACCCTCCCCATCGCAGGCGCTAGACCCGCCTCGACCGTGGACTGAGTCGAGCGTGTCGGCTATGATTCGCTTTGCCTAGCCACTGTTCCTGAAACATTGTTTTGCTTTTCCTTGCAGACTTGGTGTGGTGGGGCGCCGGCATGTTGGCGGACACCAGCGGCGACGCCGGGCAGCGCGACGACGCCGTGGTGGGTGCTGCCGCCGGGGCCGGGGCGGCCGCCAAGGCAGCGCCGGGGCCGCAGAGGACGTGCCACTGCTCCGGGCCGGCGTGCATGTGCTGCCTGGACTTCAACATGACGTACATCGACTTGGGCGGACCAGGTGGGTGGACGTCGAGGACGAGCGACTGCGGCACTGCGGCAGTGCGCGTCAACGAGTGACTGCGGTTGGGCGGCCGGTCATTGCCGGGCGGCCGGTACGTACTGCAGGACTGCAGCTCGGTTTAGGCCAGGAAGGTAACGGTAGAGTCCCTGTCCCAGTGCCCCGCCCTGGCCCCGCCCTGGCCCCGCCCCGCCCTGCCGGTCGAGTTTGTCGCCGCTCCTTAATGGGACTCGTCCTTACCCGCCGCCGTGCCGCCGCGCCGCCGCGCCGCCACCGGCCCAGAGCACGGCCGGCCAGCGCGTGGGCCTGGAGGGCCGCCACGCCAATTTGAACGCCAAAACAGCTCGGCGTGGTCGCGCCGGCCGCCGGACCGAGTGTGAGCCTCGTCCGGGAGGAGGGCAACAACCCCGGCACAGTCCCCGACACCGCGGCACTGGCACTGGCCCCGTGGCCGGCGTGGGCCCCGCACCGCGCGCCGCGCAGGGCAGGACACGCGGGACGCACATAACACGACCATGCAGACGCACTAATGGTTGCGAAATTTCCACTATTGACAGACGGCTCCTCGCGGAGAAAGTTGTCGATGGCGAGTCGGGGATAGAATCCACGCCCGGCACGCCCTCGCCACACGCACGCACCACGCACGCGGCACGCACGCGGCACGCCCTGGCCCGTTCCGTGGCGTCCGCCGTGGCCGCGGTGGCCGCCGTGCCGTCCGGGCTGAAAAAGAGACTCGAGCCTTGCCCAGCCTTGCCCTGATCCAGCGTCTCCGACTCCAGCGCGGCGCTGGTCGGTCGCGCTGGACGCTGGACGGGCCGGACGGCGAGTTTATGTGGGTCAGTTTGTCTTGTTGCACCTTTTTATTATGAGAAACCTAACGGCGGCGGAAATTGTCGGTGAGCGATGGTTATCCCGATAAGCTTGCCGCGATGGCCGATGCCGACGCCCCGGGTCAAACTTGACTTTCTCATCCCCCCTCCCCTCCCCCCAGGCCCAACTTGGCTTTTGGTCAAGCCCACGCATCGTCGTCTCGCTGCTCTGAGCCACTTCGACCTCCGACGCAACGAATTTGGAAGAAAGTCGGTGCCGCGCTGCCGCGGTTCGTGGGAACAAAGTCCCTATCGTTGAAGGCGGCGAGGCGGCCGGCGCAGTGAGGCAGCGCCGCGCAGCGCCGGCTCGGGCAAGGTCGCCAAGCCGCCAGTAATACTGGAATACTGGTCCCCAATCGGTTCGGTTCGGTCAGTGAAAGTTGAACACTCCTCCGCCTCCTCCTCGGTCTCGGTATGAGCAGCCCCGCCGCCCCTCCCTCGGCACCGCGGTGCTCCGTGTCCTCGTCCTCACCGTGCGGGGCCAGCCCAGCCAGCCGGCAGGACCTAGCGGCCCGGCGGCGCGCCTCCCGAGGACCCTGACCCTGCACTGTTTACCCGCGATTTCCCGCAGATCCACACCGCGGCTTGATGCCGAACAGTGCCGCCGTCGCGTCGCACCGTCTCTCTCGCGCCCGTACGGGACGGCGGCCCACAAGTGCGAGAGCGACACAGCGACGGAACGATGCTTCGAAAACGCCGGGGGGCTTCCCTCTCGGCCACTACCCGCCCCCGCAGTCCCGCACGCCGCGTTTCGCGGACGATGGCCAACTTTCGCTCTTCACTGCAGAGCGTCCACTCCGTCCCCTCGGTCCACTCTGTGCGGCTCTAGCCGCGATGCTGCGCCTCCACTATGTATTCGTCTGCACACTGATTCCGAGAGTCGTTTTCGTCGCCCTGTCTCTCTCGCACCTATACGGGACGCCCCATGAGTGCGAGAGAGACAGAGCGACGAGAACGACTCTCGGAATCAGTCCCCTGGCCGAGGACTCCGTTGTCGCTCATTACCAGTGTTTGCAGCCACCTTGTCACTCTCTCACTCTCTCCTGATTTGTATTCACGCCTTCGCTCTCCGTTCGGCTCGCCGCGTGAATCGCGCATCGCTTGCGGCCCTTGGCCGACCGGGCCCCTCCCTTACCCCTTCCCTGGCCTGCGCTCCGCCGCTCCGCGACGAGCAACGCAAAACAAAAGAACATGCATTCAATTTGGTTGGCCAATTTCAGCCGCACGCGGCGCGACGCGGCGCGACGCGGCGGCACGCGCCTTTGGTGGCCTGTTTCAGAGTCGTTTTCGTCGCTCTGTCTCTCACGCACTCATGGGGCATTCCGTGTTGGCGCGAGAGAGACAGAGCGACGAAAAAGACTCTCGGAGTCAGTCTGCTGTGCAAAGAAAACGCGAAAGCGACGGCCGTGGCCGCCCCGGCATGGACAGGTCCTTGTCCTCTGCCCCGGACTGCCTCTGCCCGTCTTCCATTTCCAATACTGTCCCCGGAAGGGAGAGCCCCCTTGCTTCTGCTTGCCTTCCCACGGCACTGCCATGCCGCGCCTCATGGCGGCATGTACCGCCTCTCACCGCCACTGTTCGCGTGTCCTGCAGGATGCGTGCGACTGCGCTACCTGGGCCAGGACGCCGGCGTGGCCATGAACGTGTCCTACGGCGACTCTCTGCTGCACAGCGAGGTGGTCAAGGGTGAGTACGCGAGGCACGCGCGCCATTCAACTGCTGCAGAGCGATTCCGAGCGGCGCTTTGGTGTCTTCGTCGCTCTGTCTCTCTCGCACTCCTGGGGCTTCCCTAGGGACGCGACAGAAACTTAGCGACGAAGCGCTTTCGAAGCGCTGTGCGGAATCAAACCGCAGCCCGAGCGGTGGCCAAAGGTGGCCGCTGACGCACGCTGAGGCCGTCCTTTTCTGCCCCTAGACTCCAGCCCGTCGGGGACGTGCATGGACATCCTGTCGTCGCTGGCGCAAGTGTGCGCGCGCTTCACCTCGCTGGCCGCCATGGCCCCCGCGGCCCCCTCGGCCGCCACGCCGCAGGCCGAGTCCGCCGCGGAGGGCAGCGGCGACGGCATGAAGCGAGGCTGCCTGCAGCTGGAGCCGACGCTGCTGGGCGAGGTGCAGGCCGCGTACCCCGTGGGCTGCTTCAGGATGACGCCGCAGGCAATGACGATGGAGCCCCAGGCCGCCCCCAGCCAGCCCGAGGAAGGCCAAGCAGGGCAAGCGGAAGGCCAAGGGTGAGTGCATGCTCTGCTCATCTCATCGGGCGATGGGCGTTCCGCGAGAGTGCGACTGCGAGACAGCAATTCTTCCTCTTTGACGGGGCACGACGCGTTTTCCAGGGCTGCCGCGGGTGCCGCGGGCACGACGGAGGCGCCCACCACGCCGACGGACATCAGCGCCGAGTCACTGATGGCCGCGGTCAGCGAGACGGCCGAGCAGGGCATCGACCTGCTCACCAACTGGCTCGGCCTGGCCCTGGAGGAGGACAACAACTCCACGACGACGGAGGGGCAGGACGGTCAGGACGCCAGCACCACGACGGCGGCGCCCGAGGAGAGCGCGAGCGCCAGGGCCTACCGGCGAAACCGGGTGTCGCTGTCGCTATAGTCTGGGCCGAGTCCAACACAACACTGCGATATGTGACGTGTCGCATTCTCACTATCAGTATTCCGGAGTGTATTGTGCCACTCCCTGGGGCAAGCCCTGGGGCCGGGGCCTGCGGGCCGGAGGCTCAATTCGTGCTTGAAATAATGCCAAATATTGAGGACAAGGATCGAGAGCGTCGCCGTGCGTTTGCTTTCAGACTCAAAATTAGGCTCTACCATGGCAGTAGTGATGGAGTTGAAACAATATTACCATTAAAACACACCAACAGCAGGCGGCGTTCTTCCTTATTATCTTATTTATTTTATTATTTCACTATTTATGATTGATGTAATTATAGGTGTTTTAGTAAATTATTTATTTCAAAATGATGAGTTTTCTTCTCCACATCCTTTGTTGGAGTTATTTTAGGAAAGTCAAGTACACAACAAGAACAAAATGTATAGAATGTCATGGTTCAAAAAAAAAAAAAAAATTGTATCACAGGATAGACATAAATATGTATGTCAACTCACTTATTTTAGTCACTATCACTGTCTATGTACTTGGAAGGCTTTTTCCTCTTTGAAGAGGGGTTTGCATCATCACTGCTGTCACTTAATTCAATAACTGCTGCTGGAGTATCTGATTTCTTCAGACTTCTCTTCGTAGATAACACTTTTTTACCTCCTGCTTGGTCGTTTTTGCTGGATGCTGGTCTGGATGTTGGGGAGCATGAGGTTTCCTTTGCTTCATGAGTTTTCTCCAGTTGGCCTTCCTGGAGCCTTGCCCCTCTCACTTCCATTAAGATCTCACTACTATGACTCTTAGCTTCCGCTGACCGAGGTCCTGGTAAAAGTATCAAGAGATAAGAAGACTAAAAAAAAAAAAAAAATTGGATCCAGCTGAAGAAAGAGAACATTAGTATCCAAACAAAATACCTTTCTTGATGTAGGATATTGTAGAGTAAAGTGTGTAATGGAAGTCTTCTCTTAAGTAACTGTTTATAAGGAGAAACGCTATAATAGATTCTGCCTTGGTGGCTGATAAAGCTGGAGGTTTAGTATTTGGCACTCTCAATGCAGAGGCACCTTTATGAAACCAAGCTTCTTGCAACTTTTGATCTGAAAATTCAATCACAAACAAAGATAAAGGGATGGCAGAGATAGATCAAAGAGATGAGGAGAAAAAATACAAGGTAAGTAATTTACTTGTAAGTTTTGTATCTTTCTCCTCAGCATGTTCGATTATGTTGTACAAAGATAGACAATGCTTCTTCACATCATAATTGGTCACTTGGTAAGGAAATTTACAGTTATCACACATTCCTTTGCACTCATTACTTTTCCAAACTTCAGAGAAATGACTGGCAATTATAGAACGCCGACATCTATAACCATTTGAATTACGGGTTAAAAACATTGAACAACTGCAAACAAGCAAATATTCCACCTATAACATACCTGCTAACATTTGTGCAGTAATCAACCATTCCATAGACATTTTCTACCCCAGTTCGTGTGGTAAAAACTGTACTTGTAACTTTGAAAACATCTGGCAAACGATAGAACAGAATACAATCAGCTGGAAGCCCATCTCGTCCTGCACGACCACTTTCCTACAGAAGAAAACAGTAGGGGTTAAAATGGATGCATATACTGTATCATAAAAAATATATTATTTTTTAAAACTTAAAAAAAAAAAAACAAAAAAAAAAAACATGTAAAACCAAACCTGGTAGAAGCTTTCCATGGATTTTGAAAGTGATTGGTGAATGACAAATCTAACATTAGGTTTATCGATTCCTAAACCAAAGGCGATAGTTGCAACGACAACCTGATACTTTCCTTCCAGCCATCCAGTGTGAGCTCTACTGCGCATGACTGGATCCATTACAGCGTTGTAATAGACTGCTTTTATTCCTTTGCTCCTGCAAGACCAGAAAAAAAAAGAAAGTGTTCAAAATGCAGACAATAGGAATAAAGGCATACCATAATGCTGATGGCATTAAGAAACTAACAACAATCTGTCGGAAGACTCAAGCATACCTCAGTTTGTTGCAAGTATCTTCTGTATCCTTTATAGTGGTTGTGTAAATAATTCCAGAATTTCCTGCGTATTTATGGGTCAGTAGATCAACAAGCTCCTGAAGATACTCTTCTTGGGATGCAGGCTTTGGCCGTACCTAGTGAGGAAAGAGATTAACTGACAAGGAAAGCCACATTGCGCAGAATATAAATGCTTCATTTTAAACTGTTATAACATTTGCATTTTATTAAAGACAATACCTCATAGTACAGATTTGGCCGGTTAAATGAGGATTTTAGGACTAAACAGCCTTGAATTTGAAGCAGTTTTTGCACATCCATTAATATTTTAGTTGTAGCTGTAGCAGTAAGCCCAAGTATGGGCACACCTTGAAACATGGTCTTTAGAACATGAAGTTGCAGATAATCTGGATCAGACAAACCAGTGAAAGTGAGTCAAGATTGGCGTCAATGAAAAGTTCAAGAAAAAAAGATTTCAACTATACATATACCTGGTCTGAAGTCATGACCCCACTCGGAACAACAATGAACTTCATCTATAGCAAAGCAAGCAATGCGCTCCATTTCATAAGCTTTTTGGAGTTTGTTCATGAATGTTTTACCCTTTGCCATTCGTTCAGGAGTGACATACAACAACTTCATAGGTGACTTTTTATCTGTAATTGACTTTAAATTTTAAAATGTTAAACATGTGAAAAATAAAATTTTAAAAAGTAAATTGCTTGAGAGTTTGAAAACATAGTTGGCAGAACTCACCATCATAGCTAATTTAGACTCATCTTTGGGTGTGTTTTGACTGAGCATGAAGGCAGAAATACCTTTTCTTCTCAGAGCCATTATTTGATCTTCCATCAATGCCACCAAAGGACAAATAACAAGGATGAATCCTTTAAAACAAAAAACGAAATTCGCATTAATTAAATGATTACTTTTTGGTAAAATTTTATTAAATTACTTTAAGCTAGCTATCACTGAGACCATTGACAAGGAGTGCTGGAAGCTGAAAGCACAAACTCTTTCCACCCCCAGTGGGCATCAGAAGTATGGTGTCTTCTTTTGAAAGGATTGCGTTCATAGTAGGACGTTGGAAAGGTCGAAAATCTTCAATTTTAAAAACCTCTTTCAAGTTGCTCTCCAATTCATTAGACCATGGAAAATCTGAAATGGATTATTGTTAGGGAGACTGTTCTGGACAGTTGAGATTGCTAAACAGTTCCTTGAAAAACATCTTACTATTTCCATCCCAATCTCTCGATGACAAATGGGCACTTTTCTGAGCTTGAATACGATCTTTGGCAGCTTCTTTACGTTGTATTAAATAACTTCTCCGCACTTTAAGTTCTTCAAGTCTTGAATCAACTTGATCGAGCTCATGTTGAATCGCTGCCAGTTCTTCCTCTGGAGTGGCTGAAATCATAAAGCAGTTCCTGAAGCTTCACGTTATCACAAGGCAAAGCTATTCTCAGCAAAATTATCATTGTGCCCTTTACCTTGATAATCTGATTTAGAGGAGTGGGCCATGATGTCTCAAAGTCATGAGGAATGAAACGAACGTGGTAAGCAAAATCATGAGGCACTTCTTTCACAAGAAACGACGTTAACATCGGTAAGTCAAAATACCGGGGAAGTTCTAACGATTCTATAGGTTATGTTTCCCATGTGTTGTAAACAGCTACAGAAACAAAGGCTACCAACTCTAGAGAGCCCATTTGGAGCAGCTCCCTTCCCTTCCTCCCCGGAGACTGACCGGTGTGTGTTGGTGAACTTCGAGCCGAGCTTCCCGCTTTTCCGGCTTTTCCTCTCCCTCTCCACCCCTCCCCGTTGCTGTCGGTTGCTGTTGCCGGTGATAGCGGCGACGACAACAAAGGCTCAACAGAACTCAACAACTGAACAACCAAGAGACAACAAGAGATTCGTCTGCTGCCGTCGCTGGCCGCTGTCTGTCTGCTCGGCGACCACCAGCTGATCATGTCGCCGATTCCCGTACTCGTCAAATTTGGGCTTTTGCCCGAAAAACACACAGCGTTCTTTCTGTGTGATATTCAAGAAAAATTCCGGCCCGTAATGCTTCACTTTCAAGAAATTGTACAAGTTGCAGATAAACTGGTGAGTGGAGACTGATCCTGATAGAATCCATTTAAGCGAAACATGCATTTTTATTTAATGATTTTTTCAATTTTATTTCAGGTGAAAACGAGCAAGACGTTGGGTGTACCACTGATAGTTACAGAACAGAACCCGCAAGGATTGGGGAAAACAGTGCAGGAGCTCAACGTCAGTCATGCTGCTGGTATTTACAGCAAGACAAAATTCAGCATGGTCGTCCCTGAAGTTGTAGCTCAGTTGAGTGAACTTTGCACTGGCCAACTTCAATGTGTCGTTCTGTTTGGAATGGAGGTATGGCTATGGCATTGGTTATCTCATGCGAAAATCCTACATATGTTCTTAATTTTACAAATTTTGGTACCATTTAACTTTTTACTTCTTTCTATTTTTTTACAAAGACCCATGTTTGTGTGGAGCAAACTGCTGCAGAGCTCTGTGCTCGCGGTTTCAAGGTTCACATTGTAGCTGATGCATGCACTTCACGATCTCAAGAAGAGCGCTTATTGGCTTTTGAGGTACTTTCAAATACAATTAACTTTTGGGAGCAGTGTCGGTCTCCCTCTTAATAAAATCAATCTCTCTTTGCAGCGAATGCGGCAGATGGGTTGTTTCATCACAACAGCTGAAACGGTCATATTCAAACTTCTAGGAGACAAAGAACATCCCATGTTTCCGCACATACGAACCTTAATTAAGAGCCCTACGCCATTCACAGGCCTTTCTCTATCACCAAACCCAACATGAAACTTTGGTATGGAAAAACAAAACAAACTGCAAGAATAAAATTTTAAGTATGATCTATAAGAAAGCAATTGAAAGGTTGCAATTCAAGAAACAGTTTGTGTTTCTACCCCTTATATTTGATCAGACCAAATCCGAAATTTGTATTTATTGGACTTCTGACAGACCAAGTTTTTGATTGGAATAATGCATATTGAAAGTGTACTTATATAATTTTATTTCATCACTGGATTTAATCCCAAAGAAACATAATCAGAAATCTTATCTTTCAAGTGCCATACTTAACACAAGCCACTGCTACAAGATAAGACACCTTAAGGTCTTACAAAATATGTACAGGAAAACAATACCATTTCATGGTACACTGTCTTCAATTGCAGAGAAATTACATACACAATATTCACAAAATATTTATAAGCCTAACTGGTAATTTGTATCTAAATTTAAAAGGATGCTTCACATCAATATGTTTACAATGTTGGAATGATCTTTGGTACATAGGACTATGAGTCTGCAAAGATAAACTCATCTTCTTCAACATTTTCAGCAGCTGTTTCCCCATGCTTTGTTTTCGTGTGGCGTTGAAGCTCTTGCTTTAATCGGAAATCTTGATTACAGTAGCTACACTGGAATGGCTTTTCACCAGTGTGAAGCATTCTATGTTGCTTCATATGGACCATTCGTCGGAAAGACGAACCACACACATCACAAGGATAAGGCCTGTGATCATTGTGAATTCTAGAACAAAATAGAAAGTTTCTATCTGACAAGATACCACTAATTCAAAAAACAAATAATAAGGTTCAATATGAATAATAATCTTGCAATGGAATTTAAAAACAAAACAAAAATCACTTACTTGGCATGGTCAGCCAGCATTGACTTCAAGCGGAAACTTCTCTCACAAAATTGGCATTTGAAGGGTTTTTCACCTGTATGCACACGCAGATGGTCATCTCTGGTAACCCTATGAAAAAAGGCTTTCCCACAAAATTCACATTGGTGAGGTTTGATACCCTGATGACATCTTTTGGTATGATTCCGAAGTGTTGCTCTGCAATCACACACAAAATAAAATAGATTCCAACACAATAGCAATGCAGTGGAATTTGTTAGAACAAAGAGTGCTGTTGTGAAATCTTACATTGTGAGGAATGATTTGTCACATTCTTCGCACTGGAAACTCTTCTGCCCCTGATGACTCTTTTGATGGAGAACAAGAGATGACTGCAAACAATTTATTTTTTTATAACCAATTAAACAAAGTAAGGTATGGGCAATTTTTTTTGATAAAACGGAAAAAAAAAAGAGTAATAAATTTTGTTTATATTCAAGGAGAGAATTTTAAGACAGTACCTGGTATTTAAATACTTTGCCACATTCCTCACACTGGAAGTTTTCTCCTTTGCCATCCTCATTCTTTCCAGAACCATGTTTACGTTCAATATGCATATTCAAGGTGTGTTGATACATGCAATTGACACCACAATGAGGACATTGTAAGGACCGTTTACGCCACTCCTTGGCATCAGCCCCCTGGTCATGACTGCAATAAAATATTCATTTAGATGAAAAAATAGGCTATACCTTTCATACAAGTTTCATTGAATGTGAGAGATTGTTGGAAAGATGCAATATATATACATACACTTTCCTGCGATGGTAAACAACACTCCAAGAGTTCTTAAATTTCTCTGGACATAGCTTGCAGCTTAATGAGTATGGATTCTCACTATGGCGCATTTTTCGATGTGATTGAAGATAGCTCCAATATGGATAGCTCACACCTGGAAAAGGTGCAAAGTAAAGGTATAAACTTGATAAACCACAGTAAATACTTTCATGTAGACTGACAGGCACACTCACCACAATGTTCACATAGGAAGTGGCGAGGAATGGTAAAGTCACCTTCTTGAGGTTCAATCTGGTCATAAATGCCATGAGTTGTTTTATGAGTAGTGACACGAGAGTAGGTGTGGAAAGATGAACCGCAAATATGACAAATGTAAGGTTTCTCACCAACATGAGAAGGCCTATGTTGATTCAAGCCATCAGAGCAAGAGAAAACTGTGTCACAAAACTCACACCTGTAATAATAAGAAAAAAAAAAATTGAAGATATAATTACAGGTCATATGTGCCCAATTGCCTAGTAAAAATTAGAAGAAGCATTGTTCCAGTGAGAAGAAAAACTGTACCTGAACACTTTACTGAGGACTGTACTTTGCACTTCATGATCCTCTGAAGTTGAGTGCAACAATGCCTTTTCCATGTCTGGAAATGCCAAGCCACAATTGACACACTCGTAGCATTCCATAGCTTCTGTATAAACATGAGACAACTGATGTTGTTTCAAGCGAGAGTAACGATTGTAAGCTTTGTCACATTTGTCACAGGGGAACGGCTTTTCCTGTAAACACAAGTGAGTTTTCCTTAACCATCAGCGGTGGAAATAAAAATCCAAGTAAGAGTCATGCTACAAATAAATAGACTTTACACTCATGTGAGTAACAAGATGCTCCTTTAGCCCCTGTTTATCTCTGTAGAATTTGCCACACACAGTGCATTTGTGCCGGTTTTGCAGAGAGGGATCGGTGTTGTGAGCACTTAATTGGTGGGCAGCAAGACCCTTTTCAGACCTAAAATATTTGCCACATTCACTGCATACCACATTTTCAGTAATATGAGCAAACCGTACATGATTGTACAGCAGACAGTCATCTTCAAACGATTGGTGGCAAACATCACATTCCAAGGGCTGAACATAAAATGCCAATAAGAGATTAATACGGTATCAGAATAATTGCTGCTTATATAGGGAACTTAATTGACATGAAAACCAACTAAATGAAAAATCAGATGGAGGTATTCAAGAAAAAAAAATTGAACACTTACAGGAGCCTTCTCACTGTGAAAATTCATGTGAAATACAAACCGCTGGCGGTTGCGGTATTGTTGATCACATGCATTGCAGTACATCTCATTGCAATTAACTTGAGAACAAGAGTGGCGCAATAAATTCAAAAGCCAATCAAATCCTTTCCTGAAATAGATAATATATCAGGTAATTAACAATCATTTGACAGCATCAGAAACAATCTTACCAAGTGAGGGTAACTTACTCGCATATACAACAGTAGTAAGTAATATCTCTAACATTATTTGCTTCTGATAAGCTCTTTGTGTCACTCTTATCAATCACAATAAATTGTCCATCTTCTTCTTCAATTTCAAAATCATGATTTGGACAATGGGCTTCCTTAAAATGCAAAATCAAATCTGAAGGGGATGAAGCTGACACTCCTTCACATCTGGCACAGTGGTATGTTTTTTCTTCCGTCTCATTCACATCAATGTGGCTTGTTAAGGAATGCTGCAAGCAGGAGCCATACCCTGGAAGCCACCCACTGCAATGAACACACTGAACCAAAGGTATGGATTGTTCATTATCTGCTTTGATCCAAATAAGAGTATCACTCTCCTCAGAGTCTCCCACCACTTTGGCTCGCCGAGACATAACGGCAACTTTTCCTTGACTTCCAAACCGTCCTTTCCTTTTCCCTCGCTTTTGTTTCATTTTTATTTTACTTTTAGAGATGTCATCAACAATTTCTGCATCACAATTAATCTCTGTCTGGTTCATTTCTTCCTGCTCATTCTCAGCTGCTGCATCTGAATCTTCCTCTACAACTGACTGACTGGAATCATCCTCTTCATTAGCTTGCCTGTACTGTTCCATAAGTTCTTCTTCAAATGTTTTGGCTCTTGACGGTACTTTGGCGCGGACAACCATCTCAACTGGTTCTTCAGCACATGACCCCATTTTGCCTTCACAGCAAAGAGGGCACTGGTATTTTCCAATTATATCCTCACAATGATTGTCACCACTTGCAGCAATCACTCCACCAGATTCATCTAAATCAATGCAGTCCTGAAGAAAAATTGAAGGGTCAAATCAATTATCAATTGAAACAGTAAAAATAAAAAACAGAAGCCCAGAAAGTAATAACTTTATGCTTACATTAGGTAAACTGTCTGGATTACTCTTTACATGACTAGGTCTGTTTCCTTGATGGGTGTCCAGATTAGATCTGTAACAGAATCAATTTGATAAGGATTATTACAAATATAATAGAAAGAACAATAATAATAATAATAATAATGAAAACAAAAATCACTCATAACAAACATCATGGTACAATAGAAAATATTCTCTTACTGAAATCTTTCATCTATGAAGAGACCTTCAAGTTCTTGCTCAGCAGCAAGGCACTGAAGAGCAAACTCGTGTGTTGCTTGAAGCTTCTCGACACACAATTGACAAATTTGTTTTGGAAATGGATCATTAAGGGAAACCTAACAAAAACAAAGTTGGTTAATTCATTTTAAGTAAAAAAAAGTCGATGACACTGATGTTACAGAATATACCTTAATGGGCAGATTAAGATTAATAAAATCAGCAAGGTTGTCATTTTCATCTTTGTCCGAGAATATGTACACCAAGTCATCATGAGTTTGCGTATGTGCACAAAGCCGGCACAAGGGGCCTGGGTGATCAGTTACTTCAATGTCATCCATTGTTGAGCTGAAATTAAATTATTACTTCCAATGTAAGAATTATAGCACACTCCTTCTTTATGCAAGTAACATCAGGACTAAGATGTCTTCAACATAAAAAAACAAACCATGAAACAACAACGATCACACAGGTTAAGTGAGTTAAATTAATGATATTATATTTGCAGAGCTAAGGGCCAGGTTTATCAATTAAACATACAGCAGGAATGAATTGGTTCAAGAGATTCGGTGGGACAATGTAAGAAAATATATCAGAGAGGGAGGAAGTTGAATAAGTTAGATAAGTATGTAGAAGTGAGACTTCAATCAAATAATGAATTTAACTAAGGGCAAGTGATTGGGTTGCACATATTGTGTCAAGTAGAAGTGACATAAAAAATATCAATACTTTATTGTTGTAAATGTGTTCTCTTTTCAAAACATTGTTTGCTAGAAGACGCCATGTTTATGATTATTTGGCCTATGAACATGAACTCGCACAGTGCACAGCCTAAGATTTTGTTTATGATTAATAAAACTCACTACAGTACCCAAAAGGTGACTTCATATGGTAAGCAGTTTATGAGCACATACAAACGTAATGGAAAAGATTTTCAAGTTTGAGGAAAACACTGAAAAACCGGCAATTTAATTTCCTAGCTAGCGCTCTCCTTGCCACAGCCACAGAAGAAGAACAGAAAGAAGAAATCAGGATAGAGAAATCGACTTAAATCGAAATTAAATCGAATCCACTCGAGATTGTGTTGTTTATGTTGAACTTTTATTCTTTCTCAACACAGAACATATGTATACTTTTAAATGTTTAATGGAAGACTGAAAAGAGGTGGAAACTAATCGATTCCTCGAAAGAAGTTGCTCTTGGTTTCACAAGCGCCATCTCGCGTCGAGAAGGTGAAGCTATCTGCGACTACACTAGTCAAGTGAGGCTCCGCAGCCATTTTCTGAAAATATAAAATGTATTATTTACTGCAACGATAGTTTTCAAATTCTCTTAAAGTTTGTCTGAAAATTGAAATCGGTACGAGTTTTCTAAGATTCTAACTCATCTTGCACAGATTTGAAGCTTTTCCGGTCCTTCCCCTTCTCCCACCACCGCAGCTCGACTACCGGCGGGCTTTGATTGGCTGGTACCCCCCTCAGGCGGTGGTGGGGGACTTGTTTGGGTCTTACTGGACGACCGGTGTGGTGTTGGCGGTGTTTTCGCAGGTCAGTTCGTGTCGTGTCGCGGCGAGGGTCAGACCTTCAGCCGTGGAGCGGTGGTGGCGTTCGGTCAGCTGTGCGCAGTAGTGTCGTGTTGCTCTAATTGCTTTGGTGATCTGTGGTCGCTGTGACCACTTATTCTGTTTGACTGACTGCGTTTGCTCAACGTAAGTTAATTCCACTTCGTTTTGTATCGTATGCCGACCTTCCGATTGTATCGGTTGCCGTGCAACTGCAGCCCGATCTATTGACGGTCTTTCCGGGCTATGCTGCTTGTGCAATAATCGAATCTTTGCGCCGCTACACTGCAAGACCCAACTTATTAGTAGCGATATGGCACTAAACTCGTTGTTGTTGAGACTCCAGTAGACACAGAGTTCAATGATGTTTCGCCTCAAATGAGCTTGATCGTGAAGTGTGGCGGCGCAAAGATCCGAGTATATTTAACAAGTTGCTTAGCGTGGAAAGGTCTGAGGACCAAACGACGACGCGAGCCTTCTCTGCGCTTGCTTGTTTTTAAATTTGCGGTTGGGTATATTTACTCGATATTGTGGCACCCAATCGCTTATTTTTCATGGCTAGTCCCACGTCTCTCCAGGGCTCCCTCGCTCGGCCCATTTGACTCCGGTGCGATTGCAGTGTGGCTGCACGCAGGCCTAGCAGCGGCTGGCATTAGCTTTCGGTTCTCGGCTTGTCTACTGTCGGTGGTGTTGTTTTGTGTTCTTTGGCCCACTGAATGTTGGTCGTCGTGCCTTTGGCCGTGGTGTTTCTTGCCGCTTGTGTGGCTGAGGGTGTTGGCGGCCCCCACTTGCCCTGCGGGTTGTTTCCTAGCTCTGTTGTTGCCGTCTCTCTCGAACTCGCGTCGCGTTGGGGTGCCAGAGAGTATAAGTGACGATCCTGCTTGTGGCTGCCTGGCCCCATTGTCGCTGGGTGGTGGCGGCTGCTCGCGCCGTAATACGTCATTGTTGCCCGTGTTGACCCCGCCGTTTCCCTTGTTCCAGGCTTGAACCATGACAGGCCGCGGTCGCGGAGCCAAGAAGCCGCTGCAGCAGCAGCAGGCTCCAGCGGGTGCTGCTCCAAGAGCGGCAGCCCCTTCCTATGCTCAGATGGGCGGCGGGCCGACCTCGGCGCCACCACCTCAAGTTGTTCGGGTATGTAGCAGCGTACAAGTGTTGCCTGAAGTGAGACCTTGTGTTGGATCGGGGCTTTTCCTGACGTTTGTTTGTGTTGCAGGCGCCAGCCTCCACTCCGGCCTGGGGTCCTGCCCCTGGGGCTTCGTCTAGAGCAACCCACCGCGCTCCCACCGCGCAACCAGGCGAAGTAGTGAAGCAGTTCCAGACTTTAAACATTGGTGAGAGAGGATTGCATCAGTCAGCGCCCTCGAGTGGTGTTGGGATCGTTTGTCATTGGTTTGTTTTGATTTAGGTGCTGGCGCCAGTGGCCCAGCCGCAGTCCCTCGCGGGGGGAATGGGAACGGTGGCGCCTCTGCTCCCGTTGGCCGGGGCTCCATGAGGGGCAACCGAGCTATTGGTGATGCCCCATCAAGGCAACTTGTGACCCGCCCTGTCACATTGCAGACGAAACATGGTAAGCATTGGTGGTGCCTAGTGTGTTGATTACTTATTGTGTTGTGTGTTGACTGACGTAATGTTTTTTCAGGCAAGATCACTAACGGTCTGAAGCTGCTTGTAAATTATTTCAAAATTCAAACTGTGCCGGACTGGGTGCTCCACCAGTACAGAGTGGACATTGCCCCAGAGGAGGACCGGACTCAGGTTCGCAAGTTCCTCTTGAGGACTCACAGAGACAAGCTGGGAGGCCACCTATTTGATGGCACTGTCCTCTTCACGGGAAATCGTCTTACAACCCAACCGGTACAGTCTTTCGGAGTTTGCACCTATTACTGCTGCTGAGTACTAGATTACTTACACTATTTTTCTTGCAGGGTGAATCTGTCACATTGACCAGCAAAGATGAGAGGTCTGGTGTGATTTACACCCTAACCATCAAGCATGTGGGTCAGGTGGCCAAGGGAGACTATGCCTACATTCAGGTTTACAACCTGCTTATGAGGTCTTGCCTGAGTGCTCTAGAGCTGCAGCTCTTAGGAAGGGACTTTTATGATCCCCAAGCTAGGGTACCTGATTGTCCTATGTTATGTGACTAAACTTGTCTGTTTGTGCCTAACCATCTCTTTGTTTCAGGTGATGATCCCCGATCACCAATTAGAATTGTGGCCGGGGTACAAAACCTCTATTAGACAACATGAGAAGGATATTCTGATGTGTGTTGAGGTAACACACAAGGTCCTTCGGATGAAGACAGCCAATGATGTCTTGAATGATTGCTATCGGCAAAATTCTAATTACTACAAGGTCAGTTTGCTGTCCGATTTTAAGTTCAGTCTATACTCTCCAAGTTTAATCTCTCATGGCTAATCTTGTCACTGTTTTCCAGGAGGATTTCATGAAGGAGATGATTGGCTGTATTGTAATTACTAAGTACAACAACAAGACTTACCGCATAGATGATATTGATTGGGATTCCAATCCGAATCACAAATTCAAATTCAGAGATGAGGAAATAACATACGCACAGTATATGTCCAGGAAATATCAGATTGAAATCAGGGACTTGAAGCAGCCTCTTCTAGTGTCCAAGGCCAAAGCTCGTGACGTCAGAGCAGGAATGAGTGAGATTGTCAATCTCATCCCAGAGGTCTGTTACCTCACGGGGCTTACAGACAACATGAGGTAAGTTGCCACATCTTCACCATTAGCTTCACACGCAACTGGAGCTTATGTTTCCTCTTTCCACAGGGCTGACTTCCGCCTCATGCAGGCGCTGGCGCAGTACACGCGCGTAAGCCCATCCACACGTGTCCAGAAGCTTATGGCCTTCAATAATAGGCTTCAGACCTGTGAGAGGGTACGTTCTTTTCTTTATTCTCTTGCAATGTTATTTGCTGTTGTTGCTGAGATGAAGTGCTCTGTTGCAGGCAATGGACCAGCTGAGAAAGTTCGATATGAGCTTGGGAAGAGGCCTCGTTGAAGTAGAAGGGAATAAATTGCAAGAAGAAGTTATTCAACTTGGAAAAGATCAAAAGGTGCCCGCGGGTCCTAGTGTTGAGTGGAATATGAATCGGGCGACTCTCCTTAAGCCGATGCCTTTGAATTCATGGACCTTGATCGTGCCTATGAAGTTTAAGGGGGCCGCGGGTCAGTTTGTAGAAACACTCTCTAGAAGTGCTAGGGGATTGAGCTTCCCCCTTGGACCTCCTAGTGTGTAAGTTTTCTTCAATATTGCTTCCCTAAGCTACTATTTGAGTTTTGTTTGTATTATTTGGCCTTGACTGTTCGTAAATTTCAGTGTCACGCTAGACCGAGATGCTGCAGGAGACTATGCTCGGGCTCTCACAACAGTAATGGCAGAGGCTCAACCACAGCTCATCATGTGTGCTGTCCCCAACCAGCGAGGGGATCGTTACACTGCTATTAAGAAGAAGTGCTGTGTTGAACGGCCTGGTGAGTTTGGCTTGATTGGCTTGGTCTCTGTTGTGTTCACGTGGCATGACTTTCCTTAACCTTTGTGATTTGCAGTGCCCACTCAGGTCATTCTTTGCAAGAACTTGAATGATCCCAAGAAAAGTGGTCCGGTTGCTCTGAAGGTGGCAGTCCAAATGAATTGCAAGATCGGTGGAGCTCCTTGGACCTTGGACAACCCGCTAAAGGTAAGTTATGTTGCAGCATCGTTTGTGGTTTGATGGAATATGGTTTTTAACTTACTTTTAATCTCCAGGGTTGTATGGTCATCGGGTTTGATGTCTGCCATGATACGACAAACAAATCTAAATCTTTTGGAGCAATGGTGGCCTCCCTCAATGACTCGTTTAGCAGATACTACTCTTGCGTTACCCCGCACAGCGATGGTAATGAGTTGAGCAACAACTTTGCACTCAACATAGTCAGTAAGTATTAGCACTGTTGATGTATTGGTGGAATCCCTAGTTTCTATTGTTTTGCTTATATTTGTTACTCTGTTGTGCAGAGGCCCTGCGAAAGTTCCAGGAAGTTAATGGGGGTAATCTACCAACCCGAATTCTGATTTACCGTGATGGAGTGGGAGAAGGTCAGATCCCTTACGTTTATGAAACAGAATTAGAGAGCATCAAGCAGAAACTTACAGGGGTGTATGGGAGCCCTGATTTCAAGATGGTGTTCTTGATAGTTACTAAGCGTATAAACACACGAGTCTTTACGCTCAAGCCTGACAATCCAGGAGCTGGTACAATTGTGGACAATGTGATAACAGATCCTGAGAAGTAAGTTCTCAATTGTCTTTCTGTAAATGTTATGCCCTGCCGCCATACTAACTGCTTTTAATGTTCCAGGTACGACTTTTTCCTTATTCCCCAAAGTGTTAGACAAGGCACAGTGTCGCCTGTAAGCTACAATGTGTTGTATGACACTGTAAACCTGCCTCCCGAAAGGCTTCAGAGGATGACGTACAAGTTTTGCCACTTGTATTACAATTGGAGTGTAAGTAGATGCTGTTTGTTGTTTTCAAGTTAAGTTCTCAGGCGGACTGTAAAATGTATTTTCTGTTTACAGGGCACTGTGAGGGTACCAGCTCCTTGTCAGTACGCACACAAGTTGGCATTTTTAGTTGGCCAGGCCATCCACCAAGAACCTCACGCACAACTGAGTGATCTCTTGTATTTCTTGTAGACTGGCAGTATGTTTGTTCTGCTTAAGTTAGAGGCGATTAATTGTAATTTTGAAATGTGACAGTATTTGATTGTACAAATAAGAAATTGTAAGTGAGGTAGCTGATATACCTCTTAAATCTCATGTTAATTGTGTAGATAGTTCCGTTAGTTAGATTTAATTTTATTTCTTGACTGTCATTTGCTTGAGGCAGCCTGCTAATAAGCTTGGAATTATTGTTTTTCCTTTTTTTTATTTCATCGCTAAATAAAGATTTTGAATTTGAAATGACTCTTCTCTCCTCAAACCCTACTTCTGAACATATCTAAGCTGTTCCGCTCTTGGCTGAGATCAAAATTTTGGTATCATGTCTGGGGGTACTTTACCCGTTGGTTTTCAATTGAAGTTTACGGTCAATTTGACCCTCGTAGCTGTCACGAAGTTGTGGATACGTGTGTTGTTGAGGATTCTCTGGTTCATACTGCTTACCGAAACATGCAGTCGAGTTGCTCGCTGCAGGGCAGGGTACTTTAGGAAAGGGGAGGGGGGTCTGGCCCTGTCGAAGGGCACTGGTGCAACCATGTGGCCTACATCCTGTGCGTGAGGCATGTCTAGGCATACGGCACCTCAGACACACACGTCCACCTGGTTATAAGGGGGCGCACCTGCAGAGACCGCCCAGATGCTTGCCGTCCTCGGCCCCGCCGCCGATCCCCTGATGCCCTTCGAACGCAGCATGAGGTAAGCCGCTCGCCGATAGGGCTCCTCCGAGGCGAGGTGCAGGTGCAGCAGGCTGTCGTGCTGCAGGTCCCTAGCCCTGGTGCTGCTGGGCAGCGCGCTGGCGGGCGTCGTGGTCGTGGCGGCGCCGTTCCCCGCCCACCTCGTCGTGCACGGTGCTCACCACCACGGCGGCCACCATGCCTGGCAGGAGTTCCCCGTGGCGCTGCACCGCGCCAGCAACAGCACGCCGTTCAAGCCCATCTTGCCCGGCACGGACCACGGCCTCTACAACGAGGGCTTCTTTGAGGGCGACATCCAGCGCAGCAAAGACGAGGCAGCCAAGGACCCTGACGTGAGTGGCGCGATGGGGGCGCGGGTTCAAATACCGCTTTGGTTTACCGGCGCATGTTCATTACTTAACCCAGTGAATTGGTTCAGACGAAGAACGCTGTCACGGACCCGAACCTGCTGTGGCCTTCGGCGACCTTGGTCTACAAGGTGGACGACGACGTCGGTGAGTAGGTGGCCTCCTTCTTGATGGTCTTGCGGACCTTGTGCCGTGTAGTCATGGCTTGACGCGCTGTCTTGCCGCAGGTTGCCCGGAGAGCCCACAATGCGCCATCCTCATGGCAGCCATTGACCATTACCACGAGCAGACCTGCATCCGCTTCAAGCAGTGGACCGGCGAGGACAACTGGGTGACCATCTTCTTCAACAGCGACAGGTAACGGTCTGGGCGTCTGCGCGTCGCGACGGCATGAGCGGCTGCTTTGCAGTTCCTAGTGCACTTCCCTCTGCCCTTCCCTTGGCCTGCCCCTGCAGCAGCGGCGCGTGCTGGTCACCGGTCGGGAGAGTGGGCGACGGCGAACAGCGGCTGTCCCTGGGACAGCGGTGCTGGTACAAGGGCATCGTCATCCATGAGCTGGGCCACGCCATCGGCTTCTGGCACGAGATGAACCGCCCCGACCGCGACGACTGGATCTACGTCTACTGGCAGAACATCATCCCGGTGAGCATGGCGTAGACGTTGTCGGTGATGAGGCATGCTTGGCGGAGCGCAGCGCAGCGCGCACTGACGAGGGACTCACGAGGGCACCGTCGCTTCCAGGGCTTCGCCTCGGCCTTCAAGAAGCACCAGCAGGTCGCCACTCTCGGCGAGCACTTCGACTACCGCTCCATCATGATGTACGACGAGTACGCCTTCTCCAAGGTGCGTGGCTGCCAGGCGCCGCCAGGCGCTGCCGGGCCGAGGGTCACGCGCGTGCCGCGGGTCACGCGCCGTGTCGCAACGCGCGCCGCGCCGCCAAGGCGCCGCCGTCGGTCAGTCGGCCACTTCTGGCAGCACCAATTACGCGCGCACCCATTAGCGCGCTGCCTCTGTCTCTCTTGCACCCCTATGGTCCTGCGCCACTCAGAGCGACGACGCCTCATGAGTGCAAGAGAGACAGTCACACGGCAAAATCAACGGCCGGGTTTCCCAGGCACACCCTGGAAAAACAGGGTATTTTTCCAGGGTGCGCCTGGGAAACCCGGACGTTGTTTTTGCAGTGACGAAATAATCACTGTCCAGGGTGCAGACATGGGGCGCTCCTTGTGTGCGAGAGAGGCAGGTCGATGACGGCACTGTTCAGAGTCTGATTCCGAACAGTCTCTCTAACTCATGGGCGTTCCCTAGGAGTGCGAGAGACAGTGCGACAGGAGGGCTCGCGGCTCACGCACGAGGCCTTGTTGCAGGACGGGCGGTCACCCACGCTGCAGGCCACCACGGGCGAGGAGATCGGGCCCATTTGGATGAAGAAGGGCCTGAGCGCGAGTGACAAGCGACGGATCGAGAAGCTCTACCGCTGCGACAGTGCGTCAAGTGTTGTTGCTGTGGCGGCTGTGGCGGCCCGTTGGGGTTGCCAGCGCCTGGTAACATGACTCGGTTGTGATTTTATTTTCCAGTGAAAAAGCCCAAGCCGGGCTTCCCGTACGACGTCAACTGCGACTTCAACCGGCACGTGTGCGGCTTCAAGAACGGCGGTTCTTCCAACTGGAACTGGCGCACCGTGAACCAGACGGACGGCTACGTGTACACGTCCTTCGACACGGCCGGCACCAAGCCCGGCCACTTCATGTCCATCAACTTCCCGCCCATCAGCGGCGACCTGGAGAGCGTCCGCGGCGAGCTGGGCTGTGTCCGCTTCTACTATCTCATCGAGACGGACGGCCAGGCGCAAATTGTCGTGAGTTGCAATCTGTCTGTGGATGGATTTTCTTTCGGTGTACATACGTGTACTTATAGTACTTTAGAGTAATACTCTGTCGAGGCTGTGAGAAACGCAAATTTGTTTGTGTCGGGTTGCAGCTGGATCAGGCCTACCTCAAGAAAGTGACGCAGCTGAACCACGACGAGAGCACCACGTTCGAGCTGTGGTCGAACGATACGTCGAGCAACGAGTGGATCCACATGGAGATCCCCCTCTACGTGACGCGCCCCTTCAAGGTATGTCCATTAATTGCATTACGCGCTTTTTGGAACTTTTTGACGCGCCATGAGGGAGTGCCTCACCGACTCGCTGCCCACAGCTCATCTTCACCTCCACTTTCAACGGCTCGGCCACGCACGGCACCATAGCCCTGGACGACGTGGAGCTGCTGTACACGCCGTGCAGCCCGACGCCGGACGCACCGTCGTCCACGACGGGGCAGCCGGTGCTCGCCAACCCCAAGCCCACAACCAGCACCACCAGCACGACCACCACGACCACCACCACAGCGCCGCCCGAGGACTCCATGGTTACTGAGGACAGCTCCGCGACGTCCGCGTCGACGTCCTCCAGCACCGAGAGTCCCACGACGGACGGCGGTGGAACCACCATCCCGTCAACAGGTGGGTCGGACAGGCTTGGGACTGGCTTGGACAGCAGTCTGATTCCGAGAGTCGTTCGCGTCGCTCTGTCTCTCGCACCTATACGGGACGCCCCATGAGTGCGAGAGAGACAGCGACGGAAACAACTCTCGGAATCTTGTGGGCTTGGACATTGGGCAGGCGGCCCCTCGGGCGGCCCCGGGGCAGTGAAGGGCGCCAGCCAAACGGCTAACTTGTCCTGTTGCGGATTTTGCAGATACGACCACGGCGTCGTCCATCGGCCCCTTGATGTCGACGGTCGAGTCTGAACAGGCGATTCAGCAGATGCAGTTGCAGCAGCAGCAGACCATCCTGGAGGCGCAGCAGCTCATGGAGCAGCAGCAGCAGAAGGAGCAGCAGGCGCTGTTGTTGGCCATGGCACAGAACCTGCAGCAGCACGTGGACAAGCACAAGAAGCCCAAGAAGCCCCCTCACCGGCACACCGAGGTCACCGAGGCCACCGAGGTCACCGAGACGCCCGACATGGCGTCCACGACCTTCCCGACGTACCAGACGGTCGCCACCGGCGGGGACAAGGACAAGCCCGCCCAGGACACCTTCCCCATCACCCTGACCGAGTCCTTCGACTCCAGCCAGAAGGTACGGCTGCGGGGCCGCCAACCCGTCATTGCTCATTGGCCAAGCTGAGAGCAATGCACAGTGGCCCATTTAGCGACCCTGGAGCTCATAACGCGTCCACAGGCGCACTGTGCAATGGTTCATTCACTTTTGATTTCGATCTGCAGGTGCCCAACCTCCCTGACCCCACCGACCGGATACCACTCAAGAACCCCAACATGAAGCCCACCACGACGACGCCAACGCCGACCACCGCCAGCTACGACGTGGACGAGTCCTTGCCTTGAAGCTACTGCTTCCGATTGCTCTTCTCAGCACTCTTGAGTTGTAGGTGTGCACTGTGCACCCGTGCCAAAGACTTATTTTCTGTGTGTAGACATGTACTCGTTGTAACCGAATGTGTTCAATTTCTAACGCAAACGTTTTATAAATTAAGTTCAATAAAAATAGAGCTTAGTAATTTATTGGAGTGTATTCGAGCTGCTGTTTTCAAGTGGTCACAATTGTAAATAAATATGCAATTTTTTAAATGATCTGGTGTTATTATTTCACACAAAAAAAGCAGAAAGTTGACAAAAAATATGCAAAGGTACCGACCGGTGCGTCAGCCTAAAACACACTGTGCGAGACAGCTCCCAACCAGGCTCGGACTGGCCCCCAAAAGGCCCCGGCAGATAAGACGGCAAAAGGCCCCCGATCATCATAGTTTTTACCCTTCATGACCAACTTTGTGAGTCTACCGCTCCCACACAAGTTGCGGTCAATAGCCTAGGCAAAATCGTTGTGGTCAACGTCTTCCCGATACAGGGCATGAAAGAGTAGGGTCTTAAGAATACTAGGACGTCGAGGGAGGCCTTTTACGGCTACTAGATTGGACACAGTGGCCCCCCAAAGTCAGCAAAATCGGCAAATTTCCGAGATTCGACCACTTTTTGACCAACTTTGGTCCCAAAATCGTTGCGGTCAAAGGCAAAATCGTTGTGGTCAACGTCTTCCCGATACAGGGCATGAAAGAGTAGGGTCTTAAGAATACTAGGGCGTCGAGGGAGGCCTTTTACGGCAACTAGATTGGACACAGTGGCCCCCCAAAGTCAGCAAAATCAGCAAATTTCCGAGATTCGACCACTTTTTGACCAACTTTGGTCCCAAAATCGTTGCGGTCAAAGGCAAAATCGTTGTGGTCAACGTCTTCCCGATACAGGGCATGAAAGAGTAGGGTCTTAAGAATACTAGGACGTCGAGGGAGGCCTTTTACGGCTACTAGATTGGACACAGTGGCCCCCCAAAGTCAGCAAAATCAGCAAATTTCCGAGATTCGACCACTTTTTGACCAACTTTGGTCCCAAAATCGTTGCGGTCAAAGGCAAAATCGTTGTGGTCAACGTCTTCCCGATACAGGGCATGAAAGAGTAGGGTCTTAAGAATACTAGGACGTCGAGGGAGGCCTTTTACGGCTACTAGATTGGACACAGTGGCCCCCCAAAGTCAGCAAAATCAGCAAATTTCCGAGATTCGACCACTTTTTGACCAACTTTGGTCCCAAAATCGTTGCGGTCAAAGGCAAAATCGTTGTGGTCAACGTCTTCCCGATACAGGGCATGAAAGAGTAGGGTCTTAAGAATACTAGGACGTCGAGGGAGGCCGTTGGCCGCAACTAGATCGAAGCAGTGGCCGCTCAAATTCAGCGAAAACGGCCACTTTCGGAGATTCAATCACTTTTTGACCAACTTCGTGACGTTACTGGTCACAAATCCAAAGGCCCCGGCAGATTTTTCTGCCTGTCTGCCCTGGCCAGTCCGAGCCTGCTCCCAACGCGAAAGAGGGGTTCTGGGGGCGTAAAAAGACTGAGTGAAAAGAAGCATTTCCTTACCAGGCGGATACTCCAAAACCTCCAAAACGATGGGAAGCGCGTCAAGTGAAAGCGGGACGGCGGCAACAATTAAAACAATAATGGCGGCGCTAGTTTCCACGGTTTATTTTCCCGCCCAATTACCAAAATTTTAAAAAACATGAAACAAAACACAAAAAAATGCCGGGCATGTTCTCGGGGGACTTCCCCGACAACACAGCACTGTCGCGCCGCTCCCTGGCCGACAGACAGGAGGCGGTCATGACGCCGCCGAGGTGACCACGTGACCACCGCGGTGATCACCGACGTCCAGCATGTCCTCCGGCGGCCCCGGGAGCCACCCTGGAGTGGGGGGCGGCCCCGCCGGGCCCCAGGGTCACGACGTGACCCCGCGGCGGCCTGGTTTCGAGAGCGTGGGCGGGCTGGAGGACCACATCCGCTGCCTCAAGGAGATGGTGCTGTTCCCGCTCATGTACAAGGACCTGTACGCGCGCTTCCACATGAAGCCGCCGCGGGGCGTGCTGTTCCACGGCCCCCCAGGTGAAGGCCCGCGACGTCGCGACGCGTCGCGACGCGAAGGCGAGAGCCTCCCGTCACTTTGATTGGGCCTTTGGTGGCCTTGGCGGCCTTGGTGCGTGCCAATGTCGGTTTGAAATGACACGCGTGGCGCGTCGGCACGCCGTCGGCACGCCGTCGGCACGTCCCAGGGACAGGCAAGACGCTGGTGGCGGGGGCGTTGGCCAGCGAGTGCAGCCTGGGGGAGCGCAGGGTGACCTTCTTCAGCCGCAAGGGTGCCGACTGCTACAGCAAGTACATCGGCGAGTCCGAGCAGCGGCTGCGCGCTCTGTTCGAGCAGGTACCCAAGGACGCGTGTTGGAACCCCTAACTTGAACTTGAACTTGCACGTTCGCCGCGTACTTGCGCGACCACGCACCGCGTACAGTACCAGCGCTGTTCTGACAAAAGCGACGCGTGCCAATGCCGGGATTCGAACCCAGGCCCGCATCCTGCAGCCGTCCATCATCTTCTTCGACGAGGTAGACGGGCTGGCGCCGACGCGCTCCTCCCGCCACGACATCGTGCACGCCAGCGTCGTGTCCACGCTGCTGGCGCTCATGGACGGCCTGGACTCGGCGCATGACATCATCGTCATCGGCGCCACCAACCGCATCGACGCCATAGACCCCGCGCTGCGGCGGCCCGGCCGCTTCGACAAGGAGCTGTTCTTCCCGCTGCCTTCACACCAGGTCAGCCTCGCGGCCAGCCTCGCGGCCAGCCTCGCGGCCAGCCTCGCGGCCAGCGTCGCGGCAGCGTCGCGGCCCCGCGTGGAGGTCTCCGTAGGTCTCCGCGGACACGCCCTTGACGGCAGCCTCGCTCGCGTCGCTCGCACAGGCGCGCGTCGACATCCTGCAGGTGCACCTCCGGCACTGGCGGCGCCGGCCCCCCGACAGCCTGGTGCAGCAGTTGGCCGCCAACACGGTGGGGTACTGCGGCTCGGACCTGCAGGCCCTCTGCAGCGAGGCGGTGCTGTGCGGCCTGCGGCGAGCCTACCCGGACATATACTCCTGCAACAATAAAGTCAAGATCAACCTGTCCACGCTCATGGTAAGCTGCAGTCCGGCCCGAGGGCCCGAGGTTCCGGAGCGAAATGGAAAACCACGCCACGCGACGCCACGCCCCACAGATCGAGGAACGCGACTTCCTGGCGGCCCGCGGCCGCCTGGTCCCGGCCTCCCAGCGCGGGATGTCCTCCCCGGTGCGGAGGCTGCCCCCGCAGGTCCAGCCTCTGCTGCAGGCGCAGCTGGAGCGCGCGTGCCAACAGCTCCGGCACGCCCACCCCAAGCCCTTCCTGTTCCCCGCCCTGGACGCCGACAGGTGCCAATGTGCTAATCAGTTTCCCTCCCGTAGGCTTGATGACGACACTCGAACCGCTACAGGTCTAACGGAAGTGCAATTCTCACCCCCCCCCTCCCGCACACTTTCATTTGTCGGCGCCGCGGCCAACAGGCCCGAGCTCCAGGTAGCAGGCCGCAGCCCCGCGCTGCTCATGGTGGGCGACGGCCAGCACGGCCACACGACGTACCTGGCCCCCGCGCTGCTGCACCTCCTGGAGCACCTCCCCGTCACCGTGCTGGACATCGCCAGCCTCTTCGAGCACTCTGCGCACGCCACCCAGGAGACGTGTATCCACGTGAGTGCGATTCCTCCACTCGTATTCGTACTCCTTGCACTCACGGCATGTGGCCTAGGGGTGCGAGGAAGACAGCGAGATGTGCGGGCGGCGGAATTGCTCGACAAAGTGCATACATTGCATCGGCTACCTTAGGCACGGGCTGAACCGTCTCTGCCCGGATTTCCTGTACGCAGCGCATGCGCCAGGCCCGGCAGCACCTCCCTGGGGTGCTCTACTTGCCGGACCTCACGTCGTGGTGGGGCTTGGTGGACGAGGCGACGCGGGGCGTGTTCCTCACCCTGGCCGGCCGCCTGGACGGCGCCACCCCGCTCCTGGTGCTGGCCACCGCCCACACCGCGTACCGCGACCTGCCGGCCCACGTGAGTCGGCAGCGCGGTGCAGCCGAGCGCCCCCACTGATGCAATCGGCCAACCACCTGTTGCTCTTTCATGCAGCTGCGTCAACTGTGGAGCGAGGACCAGGGCGAGGTGTTCAGCATGGCCCCGCCCTCCGCGGACGAGCGCGAGGCCTACTTCCGGCCGCTGCTGCTGGGGCACGCCGTGGCCCCGCCGCCCGCCCCCGCGGCCCCCGCGGCGTCCTCCCTCACGACCACAGGTCGGCAACGTCGCCAACGCCACGGCTACCGCCGCCGGCCGATGCGCGTGGCTCATTTTTTGCAGTGCAAGTGCGCTTGTATTCAGCTGATTTCTTCGCAGCTCACCTCGCTCTCAGTTCTCACCCCTGAAAAAAATCCAGCACAGAGGATGCCCAGTTAGCATGAAATTAGTTGTTTGCGTGTTCCGATTTGTTTTGCTTAGCTGGCTGTGAGTGTGGGTGTTCGGTTTCATGGCGGCAGCGCGACAACTCGCGTCGCGCACCCTCTCAGTGATAAACAAACTCGCCAGTCCCAACGGGTCGGCAGTGTTAGACACTGGATACCGGCTGCGTTGCCGCCACTCCGCCACTGGCCGCCAGCGGCCTGCGACCCGGACGTCATAAAACGACGCCGACGTGGCAAACAATTCACGTATTTCTTTTTCTGTTTATTGCTTTTTGAGTTTTGAGTCAGGGCTCGGCGTGTTTTACGGTTTCAGAGCGCGAAGGCGGCTCAGGGTCGCCGCCGCGCCAGTCCGAGTCCGCCGACTCGCTGTCGGGGGAGTACTTGGTGACGGGGGAGGACGGCGACGAGGACGGCGAGGACCTCGGCCTTGGCGCTCTTGACGACGTCGACCTGGACGACGACGGGCCGCTGCTGGGCCGCCTGGGGCGGGCGTGTGCGGCAGGTTGAGAGTGCTTACAGTGTAGTACATTGGCGGACATACGAAGCGTCTTTTTCCACCGCGGTCCCCTCGGTATGTGGGTTCTGCGAAGCAGCAAGCAGAAGCAGTGCATGCGACGGGAAGCACGTCACGTGACAGGCAGGCGCTCGCAGGGGATTAGCTACGCTTGGCAGATTCCGAGCAGTGCCTCGTCGCTCTGTCTCTCTCGCTCTCTCGGGGCGTCCCGTGCGTGTGCGAGAGGGACAGAGCGACGAGGCACACTGCGAAATCACTCCGCAGCACAGCATGTGCGGACATTCGTCGGCCTTGGTGCGCTGTTCAGGTGCATCGTGGCCGCCGTTGCTCGGCCTCGGCTAACGCCCCAAGGAAATGGGGCGTTCTGTGACACTGCAAGGTGCCACTGCACGCCGTAATGCCGCTTGCATGCTTGCAGCGCGCCCCTACTTCCTCCGCTCGCGGCACTCCCGGCCGTCCAGGCAGTCCGGCCAGCGGCGCGACGCTGCAAGCCGTTCGCGGCGCCACGAGTCGGCGGGGCGGTCGCGGTCCAGGGCCAGGGCGCGGAGCAGGGGCCTGGACAGGTGGGCGTCGTCATCGTCGCCCGAGAAGCACCTATCACTCCATTTGCATGACTGTTTGCACTTCACACACCCGAAATTCGGCACGAAACATTCCTCGCCTTAAAATTAGTCGTTGCTCTAATGGCAATCTGATTGGCCGTGTTTATTTTTGTTTTTGTTGGTGATAATTTGATATACATCCGCCGCCCCCCGCCGGCAGGTCCAGGTCGCGTTCCCGCCGCGGCCGGTCCCACAGCGCGAGAGACACGGCGTCCAACGACAGTCAGCGGCAGAGAAATTCGGTAAACGTGACTAACTGTGTACGTAAACAAAAGTGGAGTCTGTAGAAGTTTGGTGCCGTTCGGTTCGCTCGTCCTTTTGTGCGCCATCCCTTGCCGACCATTGCTTGGCCTTGCCGGCCGTGGCAATAAAGCCCCCCCCCACCTTCTCTTTGCGGCCCCCTCCCCTCTCCCCTCACCATGCTTTCGGGGTTCGGGGGCCAGCCAGAAGAAGCATGAAGAAATGGCCTACGACGGCAACAGCGCTAGAGCGCACTGCACCGCCCCCTCACTCAGCCTCACCGCCTCTTCTCCACCTTCTCCGTCGTGTCCGTCTTCCCGCCCACCCCCAAGCACCCCGTGACTTGCCTTGGCTTGCCCTGTCGCAGGACGCGGACGACCCCGACGAGGACCGCGTCCAGGACCCGGACGGTGCGTGTTGACGACGTGGCCTCGGCTGCTGTTTAGTCCCGTTTCCGTTCCGCCTCGACGCAATGCACGGCGTCTTCGTGCCCCCGCAGGCGTCGGCGCCGAGGTGCACGTGGACCGCGCGGGGCTGGGCGGGGTGCTGCGCCGGGTGGTCCGCGTCACGGCCGACCGGCCCGTCCGCGTCCTGGAGACGCTGCACGCCGCCCTGGCCGGCGTCGTGGCCAAGTTCGTCGTGCTGGCCGACCGCAGGGACCTCGTGCAGGTAGGCCGCGCACACCGTGACACAGTGGGCCAGAAGACCGGCGGAGGCGGACAGAACTCAACACGCGTTTTGAGCTCTGGAGCTCGCGACAGGGCAAGCCAAGGCGGTATCGTTCGTTCCGCGAGGCGGCGCTAGATGTCGCCCCGCGTTCTGGCCGTAGGGGCGGGCGCGGCGCCAACCCCCTGCAGGGGGTGAGGTCTCTGACGGGCGGGGTAGCGCGCCACCGCGTCGCGACGCCAGGCAACGCCAGGCACAGCAGGGGCACTACCCCGCGGCGTCCAGCTCTCTCCTCTCTGCTGCAGGCCCTGGAGTCCGTGGTGGACGCCTTCCAGCAACGTGGCGAGACGCAGAGTCGCGCGCCCTCCTAGGCGGCACCTCACAAAGCAAAATAAACGGAGTCGTTTATGCCTGTCGATACACAGTCGATACACTGCCGAGCTACCGGTGTAACCCAGGTAAACCAAGTACACTGCTAAATGGAGCCGCCTTTTCTTGGCCTAAATCCCGAACAAAGTGAGCCGGCAAGCTGGCCGCCAAAAGAAGGCACGCGGGTCGAGACCCGTCGAGACTAATTGGCAAGAGCTCGCCAATGCAGCGAGTACAGTCAGTGCAGTCAGTGCAGTCACAGTCAATACAGCCGGCGCACAAAGCGAGGCGCGGCGCGCTCTCAGCATGTACATTGTCTAGCGGAAAAGCGAGAAATTTGCATAATTGTGTGACTGAAGGACTGAAGGGACGGGGAGGAGCAGAAGGAGAAGTCGCAAGCGGGGACTGCGGATGGAGGTGGAAGGAGCGACGAAGTGAAGAGCACTAATGCCCGTTTTAGCGACTCTCCTCACGTCCAGGGCGTAGCAGGGCGTAGCAGGGCGCTTCCCCCTCGCGCCAATCTCGGCCACCCCGCCCCGCCCCGCCCCGCCCCGCCCCGCCCCGCCCCGCCCCGCCCCGCCCGCCTGGAGTCGGCCGCAGGGGGTGGCGGGGGCGCCATCGCCCCCCGGGCTCCTCTTTTTCCGCACTCTTGCCCCTGTGTATCTTGTGGCCGCCCCTGATGGCCCGACTGTCCGCAGACGCCAGCAGTGACCACCACGCGTCGGCCGGTCCGTCCGGTTGGCAACCCTATACTCCTATACTACGGCCGGGGGGTGGCCACCCTACAACCCGGGGTTCAGTCGGGGGTTTAAAGCGCGGGGGAGCGCGTCGAATTTCTCATATTTGGGGCAACGTGCGGCGTGGTGCGGCGTGGTGCGGGGCTGCGTGGGGCCGCGGTGCGGGTCGCGTGGGGCCCTCCGTCCTCGCCTCTTTGGCTTGCCCGCCTTTGGCCAATTGCATTCCGGTCACGTCCGCCCGCGTCCTAAAAACCTCCACCTATTTTGTTTGCTCTCCGCCTTCCCTCTCTCTTCGAGTCCCTCTTAGAGTCTCTCTTCGTCGCTCCTCCTTTCGACCGTCACATTTTTCTTTCCTCTTACTCTGATTCCCTCTGATTCTTCATGGGGCCGGGGCTGCTAGGCGCTGCCGGAGCCCCATGGCCGTGATGACCCTGGCGCCTGAAGGGCCGTTTCGCCGCCCTGTCTCTCTCGCACCTCCTATGGGACACCCCACCAGAGCGAGAGAGACAGAGCGACGGGATCCGGCGGCCGTCGCCGAGTAATTACGCCCTGCTTCCTGGTGTGTTTTGCATCGCCGGCCGAGGCTGCCGCGGCCCGGAATCGAACCCGCCCTCCTATCCGGAGGATTCGGGAAAGACAAAGTTAGTTGGCACCAACTCTAAACTCCAGTGTGGGGTGGTCGACCGTGGTCGGGAGCGCGGCATGGGGACCGAGGACGAGGCGGCCGCGCCCCCTTCCCCGCCCACCTCCAACACCCGCAGACACCTCACATCTGGAAGCAGTAAAGGAAACGACCTTTGTCCAAGGTGCAGGCAGGCCTGTAGACTGATTCCGAGAGTCGCTTTCGTCGCCATGTCTCTCTCGCACTCACGGGCGCCTCTTGTGAGGGAGACAGAGCGACGAAAACGACTCTCGGAATCAGTGTGCACGACGACGCAGACCGTTTAGTGTCACCGACGTGTCACATGCTGGAGGAAACTTCGTCCAAGGACGGACTATGGAGATGTTCTCCATGTTCTCACACGAAATTACTATGATTTTTTGTGCCTACCTGATTAGGTGATGAAATTTTCTTTGCATTCACGTGCATGCTGAAGTTCGTGCAAAGCAATGCACAAAAAAAAAATACATTAACAACAGTCCTCGCAGATTTGCGAAGGCAATTGCGGCATGGAACAAATGGGCAAATCGTGTCAAACCAGAAGTGAGTTTTCTTGGGCTGTGATGGGCTGACGAGAAAAGTTCTCATTTCAAGGGTACAAGAGCTATTTGCCCTTTTTAGCTCGTAAAGTGTTCCTTTTTATGGGCCTGATACAAAACCGCATGGAGAAATAGACTTGACAGGCCCAGGCCGGGCCGAAGGACCATCAGATAGGCCAGTGATAGGCCACAGGCAGGGGGACCGCGGCCGGTTGACGCAGCACGGCGACTCGGGTGGACAGATGACAGATGGACAGTGGGGCAGACGGACAGACGGAAAGACACAGCTTCCCGGGCCTTGGATCTCGGCTTCTCGTCTCGGGTCCGCGCCGGTCCGCAGAAAGGCCGTCGAGGGCGAGGTAGCCCTTGGTAGCCCTCCGAGAAAATGGGCTTAGCCGAGCAATCGTGAATGCAAGGCAGGCAGAGCAAACTAACACTCAAGTCCGCGATCGCCCGCGCCGTGCCCGGGAACTTGTCGCCGCTTGTCGGCGCGGAGGATCAAAACAAGAGAAAATCCGGGGCGCGCGGCTCTGCGCTCCCCCGCTATAGTTGGCGCCATTTCTCCGGCTACCCCCCCCCCTCCCCTGCCCCTCCGGGCCTCACGTGTTCCCCGCGGAGAGTTGACTTTTGCCGCGGAGAATAAGTCGGAGAGGGTTGGGCCCGGGGGAGGCCGGCACTGGCGTGGCACTGGCGTGGCACTGGCGGCGGCAACCAGGACGAGATAGAGTGCGTGTTTGGGGAGGTCGGGGCTGGCGCGGGCCGGAGGTAGGGTGCTGCCGCGGGCCGAGCGAGGGGCGCCGGGCCGCGACGCCACGGCACGCCTCGCCAAGCGGCGCCCCGCCGCGCCTCTCCACGCCTCTCCGCGCCGCGCCCCGCCACGCCGCGTCTCTCCACGACCCGAGGCGCGCTGTCGGCAAACAAAGAAGCCGAATTTGGCGGGCAAACACGTGAGGGGCGCAGGGCAGCGCGCGCTGCGCGGGGACGGCGGGGGCGGATGCCCTTCAAGAAGTATCTTGAAATACCCGAACACCGCTTTTTACTTTCGTCGCCAGCCACGCGGTGAGTGTCGCGGCGTCGTCGCCCCCCTCGCCGTCCTGAGGGCCTCGCTGACGCTGGCTGACGCATGCTCGAACATTCATACCCCGAAGTCTGAAGCGGCCTCGAGGCCTCGGCGCGCTGCGTTCGCGTCGTTCGCGTTCCGCGGCGAGGGCAGCTCTGATAAAAAGCAGGCGTCGAGTTGCTTCGAGGAGGGAGGACTTTCGCGGGAGAGGCGCTTCGAAGGACCCCCTGGACTCGCTTGGGGGCGGGTCCCTAGCGGAGGGGTGAGGCGAGGCCCCCGGCAAGGCCCTCAAGGCCCCCGCCAAGCCCGGATAAACGTGGGAATACATTTCAAGGCCGGGGGCCCCGGGGGCCCCGGGGGCGGGGGGTAAGCTCACACTAAGAGGTGAGATTCTTTCGGCCGGATGGACTCGCCGCTGCCTCCATGCCGGCTCCATGCTGGCTCCGTATTGGCTGGATAAATGTAAGCCTCTCGCAGCTATCGCACGCGCTGCCAGGAGGTGCCCGTCCGAAAACGGCAGACGGCGCGCGCGCCGCCGGTATTCGAACCCACGGCCGCGCCCCTTACTCCCCCACTGGCCTAAGTCTTGGGCACGGGGCGGCTTCCACGAGTACAGCGCAGCCGAGTGTGCGCGCGGGCCGTGGGGGCGTTGGGGTACCGACCGCCCAAACAACCCCAACCGACGGGCGGCGCGCGGCAACGCCCTCGCCCAGTGTAGCGGCAACCGCCTTACCCCGTCGCTGCCTAATCCGTGACAGGATTCGCCTTTGAAACGGGCTCGGCTCAGAGTCGGCGCGGCACGGCGGCACGGCACTGGCATGTGGGGCCGCGGCGCCGCGGCTCGGGGGGAGACGGCTTTGATTGCAAAAGTTATCGGAGGTAAACTCAAGATTGGGCATTCCCTCTAATAAGACGGCGCTGCTGCCAAACCAGTGGAGTGACTTTCAGACACAGGAAAGGGGGGGGGGGGTGCACGTGCACGAGGGGCTGCTTGATGAAAACTGGCCAGCGCAGGTCAACCAGCAGTGTCAGCACTCCGCGCTAGGGACGGAAACAGTGCTCGGGGCGCTGACTGCGACTGATACCTCCCGATGACTCGAGAGGCACTCAAGAGGCACTCGAGAGGCACCCGAGAGGCGCTCGAGAGGCACTCGAGAGGCACGCACGCACGGCGGCTGTTCCGTGCTTATGCCGTATTTCGCCCCAGAGGGGGGCGCGGGTCAACCAAGGTTGAGGGACTGGCGAAAGGACTACGGTGGCCAATGTGCGGGGGCGGAAGGGGGGGGGGTCCGCGCGTATTTCCCTCGGGCCGGTTTGTCTCAAAGACGTCTTCCGGGAGTCGCGGGGCGTCGGCGCGTCGGCGTGGCGAGCGCTTGCGCAGCGGCCGGTCTCCAACCGAAAGGGGTCTCACTCAAACCTCCACCAGACACACAATTCGGGGCCCCATGAAGAAAGGGGTCCCTTACGCGTCCTCAATTTACGAGGCCAAGCGTCACGGTCGTCGACGCAGCGGAAAAAAAAAATTCTCTGCGCTCCCCGAGAAAAACAACAAGAGCATCCCTGGCAACACCACTTGAAAGTTTGATTCCCCGAAAGTCCTCGACTCGCCAGTTCGTGTGCACAAGCCCGCGCGGCCCTTGTATACTACAGTACTCGTGCATCGCACCAAGTCCCCCCCCCCCTCCCCGCACTTCGATTTCACTCTCCATCGCCCTTTCGAACCTACTTTTAATTGGCAAGTTTCCCTGATTTAATCTTTCCCCTTATTGTTTCTTCTTTAGTTCGGTTCGGCCGGCCTGCCTGGGTCGAGGCCTGGGCCTCCCCGGGCCTGCCTGGTCCTTTCCTTTGTCCGCAATGAGTGCGGGAGAAATGAATTTGTGGAAGTTCCTCTCGCCGTTGGGGTCGCCGGGACTTTATCTTATCAGCTCGCGAGGGATCGCTTCGGAAAGTAGGCCCGCGGAGATCATGGCAGTGGTAGGGAAATGTCCTCGCGGTCCTCGGGCCACTCGGCCCCTCGGCGGGCAGGGCAAGACGGAAGCAAGGGTGGCGGCGCCACAACCGGACACCAGACCTCGCGGCGCTGCGCCGCCCTGCCGTGCTCTCGACGGGTACGTCACCGGCGTCGCTCTGACTCACCACAAAGTCATAATAAACCGAAAAGAAACGGACGCGCCAAGTCGCCACACGACACCCTTTCCCCTACACTGTAGTGAACGAGGCGGAGCAGCGCTGACGAGGCGAGGCACCGTGTGATTGTAAAGTCGGAGCCGTCTGCTGCACTGCAGAGTCGTTGGCGTCTGTCCCTCTCGCAGCCGGATGCCCAATGAGTGCGAGAGAGACAGAGCGATGAAAGTGACTCTCGGAATCAGTGTGCTGTCGACGCTGCAGGGCGCGTAACTAAATGCTGGTGTAGGCTGCGTCCCAACAGTGCGTCCGTCGCTTCGTCTCTTTCTCTCGCTCCCCTGTGGTGGAGTCCTACTCCCCTGGGACGCCCTGTGAGTGCGAGAGAGTCAGACTGCGCGGAATCGGGCAGCTGAAGGCCGCGGCCGCAGCGAGGACAGCGCCCTGCGCCACCACATGGTGGCCACCAGGCTGCCTGCCGCCTGCCCTGCCCCGCCTGCCTTGCCCTGCCCTCGCCCGGAGTTTTCCATTTTCCGGAATCCTGTGCTCCGGCAGCTGTTCCTGCAGTTTGTTCTCGGAAGCATGAAAAAATGTGCCGCCCCTCCGCCCCTCCGGGCCGGCCCCCCGGCAGCCCCCGGCCCGGCGACTGGCCACTGCGGGAAAAGCCTAAGTAGGCTCAAACGCATCGCCGCGGCCCATGGTGGCCGTCGCCGTCGCCGGGAAGGGATTGTAAATTTCCAAGGTTGGCAAAGTGTTTGCTGGCTCTCGCGGCGCCGGGGAGGCCCCAGAGGCCCCACAGGTAGCCCCTGCAGGGCCCGGCGGCGCGGCAAGGGCGGCCCGATTCGCCCGATAGACGCCTTCTTTCCTGCGACTGTACTTTGGATCCGAGTAAGGAGCGCGGCAGCCCCCGGAACTGCGAGCCTCCTGCTTGGAACTCCTTCCCGGGAGGAAGCTGCAGATGCAGGGGCCGGGGCCCTTGCCGGGGCCCTTGCTGGTGCTGGCTGGCCGCCGGGTTCATATCGTAATGGCGCAATAAATCCCATCGGGGACAGGCGCACGCCCCTTTCAAGCGCCCCCGCCCCGCCTTCATCAAGGCCGCATACTTTATCTCGTCTTTTTCTTTAGAAATCACCTGCAACGTTTGTGCGGGGGCGCGGGGCGGGGCGCGGGGCACTGTCCAGGCCGGCGGCGGGGGCCTTGATGACACTGGCGCTGGCTGGCTGGCGCGCTGGGCCGCGGCCAGGGGTGTGTAGCCGCGTGGCCGCGTGGCCGCGCCAGGGTGCCGGCGTCCACCCACGCGCTATGCGCCGCGTCGCCTGCGGCCCCACGCCCTTTCGTCCACAAATCACGGGCCGGCGTGGGGCGTGGATACAGACACCCCCGGCACGCCGTGCGCTCGCCCCGCGCACGCCCCGGCTGGCGTTATCACACACTCGGACTGAATCCTAACGCTGTCCAAACAGCACGGCGGTTGGCAACCGCCAGGCACTGCGTGGCACTGCGGGGCACGCAACTACCCCCGGCACCACGCCTCGCCCGACATACAGCCCTGGGCGAAAGCAGCAATATATCCCCGTGCGAGAGGAGCAACGCGTCGCGGACGCGACTCACGTCCGGCCGCCAAACCGGCAGCCGGCAGCCTAGGCAAGCGAAGGCAGCCACAGCGGAGGACGCCGCACAGTGGGCCAGAAGATCGCGGTGGAGGTGAACAAAACTCTCGACGCGTTTTGAGCTCCAGAGTTGCTAAACAGGACTCGAACCGAACGTGTGACCCCACCAATGGAATGCTCTTCGAACGAGGAATCCATTGGTGGGGTCACACGCTCAGTTCGAGTCCCTTTCAGTTCAGCGACTCTGGAGCTCAAAACGCGTCTGTAGTTTTGTCCGCCTCCACCGGTCTTCTGGTCCACTGTGCGCCGGGCCGGGTGGGTCGCCTGTGCAGTCGCCTGCCATGGTCCAATGGCCGCCATTTTTCTCAGCCTTTTAGCACCGCGCGGGATCATGCCCATGTTTGCCAGTGTAGGCCCATGTTTATGTTTTTCCCCAGCCGCGCCAGGCAGCCGCGCCAGGCAGCCGCGCTGGCAGCGGCGTCCCGAAGGTTAGGTTAGTTGGCGAAGGTGGTGGTCGGTGTCGGTGGCCGTCGTTCGGCTGCGCAGCTGAGCCTGCACTCTGCTCTCGGCAGGGCCCGTCCCGAAACAACAAGCTGACGCCGCTTTGGCGAGCGGGTTTGATTTCCCGGCTCTCCCAGACTCGTGACGCCATTACGGAACATAAGCCCCATCCTCGCTGCGCGGCCCGGAGACTGAAAATTGCTGAAAATTTGCTGTTTGCAGTCTGATTTCGACCAGCCCTTTCTCCTGCCTCCAGCGCACTCGTGGGTGTTACGCGGAAGTGTGAGCGAGACAGCGACGAGGCACTGGCTGCCTTAGATGCGTGGCCGGGAAAAACGGCACACGGTGGACGGGCCCGTCCCGTCACCGCGAAGCGCGGCTGCCCCGCCCGGCCCCGGCTGGCCGCCACCGGGCCCAGTCACGCTCACTCGGACCAAATACTCTTTCCAAAATACACGCGCAGGGCATTGTTGCCCATCACTCAGAGGCTTCGTTCCCATTACGTTACGCAGATAGGGGGACTTTAAGACCCCCCCCCCCCCGGATGCAACGCGGCGTTATGCGGGTCCTGACCACAACTGTCCCCCCACTCTGCAAAACGATACGCGAAAATATTTCCTGATCGCAGTGGCTCCGAGGGAACCCCTCTTTTCCATAAGTCACAGCGTTCGGCAGATTAAAACGCCCCCGTCTCCGTTACATAATTACTGTACGGCCCCACAGTGTGGTGGGGCGGGGCGGGCGGGGTTCTTTTGCTGACGCCTGAGCGACGCGGCGCGCGGCGGCGGCCTGCGTGTGCGTGCCGGTGCGGCACCGGGCGGCAACGTCGCACCCGCCCCGCAGCTGAGTTGTTTCTGACGTGCAACCGCACGTTTGCACGTTTGGAAAGGAAAGGCCGGCCCGGCAGGCCCGCCACCGCGGCACTACACCATTTGCAGTTGATTGCGTTTCAAACTTGGATCGGCAGGCGAACCGCACAGCCCCCCCCCCCAACCCTCTCCCCCTTGGTCAGCATCAGCGTCTGGCAGGACTGACAGGAAGCGTGGATAGTATGTCGACCCATGCTCCCTCCTGCCCGCCTCTTCGGCCGCCCAAAAACACAGCGAACGTCCACTTATTGTAACTCCAGTTTGGACAGATTTTGACGGACTTTCCCGCCGCCGCTGCAAGGCTGCTGGCTCAGAACCCTGACCTTCGCCCCCGCCCGCCCTCTCCGCGTCCTCTCTCCCGCCTCCTCCCACGGCCCTCCCTGCAAACGCACTTTGGCACTTTGTCTCAGTCGCCGTCGTCGCAAAAAGTAAGAACAATGTAAGGCAGGACCTGATTCGCGGCCTTCTGCTTCACCTACGGTCTACTTATTTGTGTGCGGGTTACACGCGCGTCCGCACACCCACTACACGCTTGACTGCGAGCCCTCTAACATCCAGCCTGCTGGCCCAGTGGCAGTGGCGCCCTCTCTCGGCGCCGCGCGGTGACGTGCCGGTTGGGCTGCCTACCTCCACGGCGCTCGGCTCCAGCGCTGGGTAGGCAGCCCAACCGGCACGCCCTGGTCTGGGCGGCCGGGCGAGGATGACGCCGGGGGGCTGAGGGGACGTGTCGCACCCTATCCGTCAGGAGGAGGGCGCTGGTCTTGTCGGCCGGCCTTGTACACGGCCCCCGTGGCCGTCCCCGCCAGCCCCGCCGGCCCCGCCAGCCACGCCCAGGATGAGCCGAGCCGCGCATTAAACTGTCGTCGCCCTGTCATGTCGTGCAGCCGGGCCGAGGCCGAGGCCAGGCTGAGGCCGCGGCGAGCTGCGCGTGTTTCGCAGCTGGAGCAGCTGGACCCTGCCGACGGTGTGACGGTGCGCCCCAAACTTGGAGAGGCCGGCCGGGCCTCTGCGCACTGCGCCACCAAGGCCACTGCCCAGCTGAGTTGAGGCTGGCAGCACCCTGAGCCACCCCAAGGGCATGGGTTTCACTGGGCGTTCCTGGCCGCGTACTTCAGGCCCGCCACGCCTCCACCCCCGCCACCCCGGACGGATAAAGACTTCCAATAGGCGTTTTGACAACGACAACCCCCTTCAGAAGGCTGACGCCGCAGCCAAAGTCAACAGAGCCGCCGGAGCGCCGCGGCTCCGCGCGAAGCTCGCCTCGCAAATCTCGATCTCGCCGACTCAACTACTTCGCTTGACTCGCGCCTCTCGCCTCGACTTCTTTCGGGTCGGGATGTCGATGTCGGGATGTCGATGCCGGGACGCCGAGGCAACGCTCGGAAACAAACACAAAGTCTGGGGGGTGACAGGGAGGGGCTCCGAGTCAATTTACATGGCATATCGCGCGACACGGCCGCGGCACCTTGGCCAGGCCCTTAGTGATCCGGCGGATCCAGCGGATCCAACCCTTAGGCGTGACTGGCGGGCCGCTCCGTGCCGCTCGTCCAACGGAAGTGACGTCACAGACGTCCTTTTTGATACCCGGAAAGCAGTGCCTCGACGCGTTTCCGGCCCACTATTCCAATCGAATGACGACGGACTGCCGCCCGACTTTGGGGCAGCCGCTGCAGCCGCCACGCTACACCGACTCCCCGGCCACTTGGCGCACTTCCTGCCGGCCGCGGCCGTCTCCGACGTCCCCGTCGTCGCCGTGCTGCTCGCCGCGCTGGAGCCCGGAAACGACGTCCAGCCGGAGGCACCGCGGCACCGCAGATCTCCGTGTCCCCGCCGTCCTGCCCCGCCGTCCCAGCGGACCGGGTAGTCTAGCGAGAGCGGCGTTCGCACAAACCGAAAAGGAAAAGGGAGAAAGAAATGCAGCCAGCGCGCCCAGCAGCCCCGGCCGAGGCTGATGACGGACGCACCTCCCCGCCCCGCTGGCCCCGGTCCTGTCCGTACCCTTCCGGCCGGCGCTGCTGCCCACTGACCCCCGATGGAGTGGCGAGCGCTGCCTCAACGTCAAAGTGACCGGAAAATTCCGCCCCCCTCCTCCTGCCTTGTCCTGTATTCGAGGGGGCTGGGGGAGGTTGGTGATGGAGGTCCTGCGCGTTTGTGAAACGTGTCATTCTAGCTCCGCGCCCCGCCCGCCCCGCCCCGCCCCGGGAGCCTTGATCACACCCTTTCACGCCCCTCCCCCTTTGAGCAGGCTCGCCGCACAAAGATGTGATCAGCGCACGCTTCACGCCGAGAGACAGACATCCGCCCCTCCGCGCTACGCCGCGCCGCGCTATGTGTATGGCTACTTTACACCCGGATTCACAAAGTGACCCCCACCCCCACCCCAGCCTTGTTTGTAGTGGTATGAGATTACGTTGGCAGTACCGCCCAGAAGTCGGGTATGAGAACTATTCGTGTCACTGCCTTGTAACCCTGGTGTCCATACTATGCAACTAACCTATGAATAATAAATCTCTCTCTGGAGTGTTCCCTTTGGTCATTGAGTCTGAGTCTTTGTTCCTGTGATCCCAAATATTCGAGAACAACTATTCTGTTCAAGAATAGAACAAGCCTTGCATCCACTCCGGCAGGCCGGCAGGCTCCGGGTGATAAAGACCGGAAAGCGGAGACGCGCGTGTCGGGGTGCCGAAATTCCATCCTCCGGGCTCAAATTCCGGAACAGGGCGCCGCCGTGCCGCCGCGCCGCCAGACTCGACTCCCCGTCCCCGGGTTCCCGTCGATGCCCCACGCCCCACGCCCCACGCCCCACGCCGCGCGGCTGCCGCTGCGGCCCCTAGGGCCCCGGCCCGCCCGGCCACGCCAGCTCACTCGCCTTTCTCTCGTTTTAAAATGCATAGCCCCGGCCTGATCACCGGGGCTCTTCGGGCTCTTCGGCGACGCCGTAGCCTTACATAGCGCCCTTCATCCCCGGGCCGCTCCGCGCAGCCTCCGCGCAGCCCCATCCGCTCCGGAACCAACACACCAACTTACTTAGGACGCGACCGCCTTATAGGCCCGGCCCGGCCCGGCCATCTCGAAATATGCTGCCAGTAAAAACCAAGAGCCCATCTGGCGGCGGGCTGCGGGCGCCAGGCTCGCCTGCGCCACCTTGCGCCCGCCTTTTACCGGCGCCTCGCGAGAGAGTGACAACGACAACCGAGGCGGAGGCCTGGCTGGCAAGGCTGGGCTCTCGGCTGGGCTGGCAGGGCGGCAGAGCGGCTTCAGCAAGAGCGGGCAGCACGCCGGCGAGGCAGGCAACCCATCCTGCTCAGGTTGGCCGGTGCGTCAGGCGTTGCATAGGCCGCACGCCGCACGGCTGTGCTCGACAGGCGGGGCTGCTCGCACGGCGCTCTACGCCGCCAGTGCTGCCACATAAGTAGACAGAAATTCCCGCGGAACAACATGGTCGGTCGAAAGGGTTGCCCGACAGACAGCTTATAGAGAGCACAGCCTGGATAGATATTGCTCAGTTCGAGGATGGAGGTTGGCAACCATTTTGACGCCGGGGCATCGTGGACATCATGGAAATTTTTGCCTACTTGTGTGGCAACACTGCCATGGCTTGACTTGAGACCCAGCCCAGAAGTCGCACGGGCAGTCTGAGTTCGGGCAGTTCCGATTCGTTCCGATTCGTTCCGATTCGTTCCGACTCGTTCCGACTCGTTCCGGGTCCGAATGCCGCTCGCGGGCTGCGCATCAGTCAGCCGATTCTAATAATTCTTTCCCTGCGAAAAGTTACACGCCCATCAGCATACTCTCCATTAAAAGTTTGTCGGACAAGCCCCAAGTTAAGCTGCCGCCAACGACGGGGTAGAAAAAAAAAGTTTAAAAAAATAATCTGAAAAGTAGGGAAAATAAAATCCGGGGGAACAAAACGCTGTCTAAAGTTGGCACTCCATTCTCAAATTAAGTGGTGCCATACTTGTGACCAGCCGGGCTGCGGGCGTGTCGGGTCGGTGCGGTGGGCAGGGCTGGGCGGGGCTGGGCGCGGCCGGACGGCGCAGCCCCTTCCCGCCCTTCCCTCTGCGAGCTTGGCAACAAAGGACGGTCCCCAAACAAAAGCGGAATGCCCCGCGCGCCGCGAGGCCGCGAGCTGTTCACCACATTAAACCATTACTCTCTCTCTCTCTCTCTCTCTCTCTCTCTCTCTCTCTCTCTCTCTCTCTCTCTCTCTCTCTCTCTCTCTCTCTCTCTCTCTCTCTCTCTCTCTCTCTCTCTCTCTCTCTCGCTCCCGCACCTTTATCTTGAAATTTCGGCCCCTGCAATTGAAGGACTTCCACGCGGGGCCCATTTAACTCGACAGAACAATCGCATCGGCCGTGGCGGGACCAAATATTTAATTGATGAACCGAACGGGCTTCCGCTTCGGGTGCGTGCATTTTGTAGCGGCGGCCCCGTGGCGCTCGGCGCGGTGGTGGCTGATGATGGCCGATGGTTCTGGTGGCCGACGGTGTGGCGCGGCAGCGTCATGCCCCATGCAGCCATTCTGCGCGTTCTGCCGTTCTGCCCGGCCGGACCGCCGTTTCATTTTCACGCCCTCTTTCCCCTTTTGTTTCACGACGCCAGCGAAATTAGTGCACGCCGCGGCCACTAGGTCGCGCCACCGTCAACGCGGCCTCCGCCACGCTGCTGCAGGTGAGCCGTCGCAATCAAGCAATCATCCCCCTCCACCCACGCTGCCATATTTCACCTGTCCGGCCGCGGGTTCGCGCCGCCACGCCGCCACGCTTTGCCAGCTGGAAAAAAGAATATCACATCCCTCCCGCATATTATACTGCAATCTCACAAACCTCCGAACGAGTTACGCCATTTCCATAAATTCCGAGCAGCGCCGCGTTGGCCGCCTAGTTGGCGGCGGGAAGCTGCTGCCGGCGACACGGCGCGAGAGAGACAGACGCAGGGCGGCGGAGTCGCAGGCGCGAGAGAGACAGACGCAGAGAAGGGCGGTGGAGGCCATTGTCTCGAAGGGCGACGCAAATCCGGCGCACCCTGGCTTAGGGGCGTTGCTGGGCGTTGCCTGTCGCGGGTCGCGTCGTGGCCGAGGACGACGGCCACGCGGGCCGAGGCGCAAGTGCTGGGGGTTTGTGTCCATTTATTCGGAAGCCTTCCCTCCCCAAACCGCGCCGCCACCCCGGCCGAGCCGGCAGCCGTCTCGAGAGGCAGGCGTAGGGGTACTTGCGGGGCGGCGCGAGGAGGGCGACGAGAGGATATCACCTGCGGGATATTGCCTACGTGGCCGGGGACTCCGGCGGCCTCCCCTCTCCCCCTCCCACTTCCCGACCGGGCCAGCCACGCGCCCCGCGCCCCGCGCCAAATGATATGAATAAAGCTTTGCAACGCCTGCTTCTGAGGAACCTGCGGGAACCTGCGCAAGACGCCGCAAACGACACCATATTTCCTCTGTAGCCGCCGGGCTGCCCTGCCCTGCCCTGCCCTGCCCTCCTGGCGCCGTGGCTCGCTGTTTTTTTTTTCGCGCGCGCTCCTCCTCCACCATGCCCTCGCAGTCCTCGGCGTCCTCGCCGTCCTCACCGTCTACGCCGTCCCCGCCGTCCTCGCCGCCCTCCCGGTCGGCGGCTCGGCCAAAAACTTTCCTCTCACCGCGGAATGGCATAATGGCGCCGGGCAACGCATTAATGCCGTCCGCCGGGGAGAAAAGCGCGTTTTGGGCCGAGCGGCCGTATTTTTTTCAAAAGAAAAGCCACAAACAGGAAAAGAGCGGTGCCAAGTCGCCGTGGCACGAGCCTGGCAAAGCGGTCGCACTTAGCGCGTGCGCGTGGCGTCTTGTCTTTTTTGTTTCAAAATCGTGCCCGGAATCGGTATTTGAACACTCGAACCGGGCGCGTTGGCGCAGGTGAGGAGGGTAGCGCGGCTGAGTGACGCTTATTGGCATGTTGTAGGACCGTGTCGGCCCGCGTCACACACCACACACACACACACACACACACACACACACTGCTGACGCCACTGGCCGGACATTGACGGGGCGTGCCTGGAGGCGTGCCGGACGGGCTCCGTCTATCGCACTAAATGTCATCCCCAGGCTCGGGGACTCGGCGGACTCGGCGGCGGCGCGATATGGCCGAGCTGCCGCCGTGCTGCTGCTGGCCGTCGAAGCGGA